CCAAGTCTTTGACGCCCACATAACAACTGCTTAAATTAAAACAAACACAGTGAACTGAACCCACATACATTCAGAAACTAGACTAAAAAAAATCACAATTAATTCCCTCAATTTCCAGATTGCTAATCAGAAAACTTCAAACAGCATATTGTCGAACTTATACATGTGCCTAACTTGAAAATTTTCCTATTAATCAGTTACGTGTGTCTCGTTCCCCATAACTGCAGTAACTTTTTGATTTTTATTTTGATTTTTTGTAATGTAATAACTTATAACTGCAGTAAATTATGATAGAATAATAAGAACCCTGCTAAATCACTTGAGCAATTAGTTTTCGGCTTCTCACATACACATGCACAACGTATTGCATACGTACTGGATAATCATACATGATGCTCACAGAAACGTACCTGTGATCGAAATTGAGCACGAGAAAGCAGAATTGTTTCTTCAGAGGCGGATAAATTGGGCGAATTTGGAATTCTAGGGTTTCTGCTTCATGTGTTTGAAAGGGGGAGGGGGTTGGTACGACGGCGTTTTGGAGGAGTCCCGGCGACGTTGGAGAAGGGGGAGGAGAGAGAGAGAATGAAGGGGGAGAGAGAGAGTGAGTGGGTGTCACGTGTATACCAAATGACCTGAGTGGACGCGGGTCCTTGGTCCGTTGATTTGGATCTGACGGCTGAAATTGATTCCGGGAAAATCATCATTGCGATTGATGGCTGATATGTGGGGTTGCAAAAGTAGGTCTCTTGCCTTGGTGGCCCATGCGATTCAGACTTTGTATTATTTATTATTATTTATTATGACTTTATTTTTTTTATTTTTTTTTATAAGAGTATTAATTTATGACTTTAATGTTGCTAAACAGTAATAAAATATTAAGATGGTGTTTGCAGAAGTTTTGAAAAATGATTTTGAGTTTTTTTTGATTTAGAATTACTTTTAAAGTGTTTGCAATGCTTTAGCTTTAGCTTTAGCTTCTATTTCTCTTAAAATCTGTTTTTAGGTGTTTGTAAAAACAACTTTTGCTTTTGTTTCTCTTAAAATAAGTATTTTTAAGCTATAATTTGTTAAGCACATATGACCCTCCTTTTTCTATTTAAGTTAATTTTCCAGTAAATTTGCAAACATCCCAAACTTTTAAAATTAAGCGCTTAAAATCAACTTAACTCTCAATCCATAACTTCTGCTTGTAAATAAGCTTTTGCAAACACCACCTAAAAAACACTATGGAACCAACTTCTCTTAAAATAAGTTCCTTAAAATTAAATTTCATTAAGTTTGCAAATACCCCGAATCTTTAGAGATAAGCATTTTATCAGTAACTATCAATAAGTTCTATTTCTTAGTTCAAGATCTCTCTCACTCACTGGAATCAAAGAATTAATAGATATGTTCCTACCAAAATGAGAATGGGCTAGGGTTATGAACTTATAATCTGATGATTGAGATGGTGTTTACAAAAGCTTATTTAAAAGGAAAAGTTAGTGTTGTGAATTAAGTTGGTTTTCAGTGCTTATTTTTAAAAATTGGGGGTGTTTGCAAATATTTCCGAAAATGAACTTAAATAGAAAAAGTAGGTTTATGGATACTTTTAAAAAAAATAGCTTAAAGCAAATTTTTTAAGAGAAGTAAAAGCAAAAGTTGATTTTGCAAACCCCTAAAAACAGATTAGGAGGAAGAAAAAAAAAACTTATAATCGCTTTCAAAAAGCTTTTGCAAACACCACCTAATCGATTCCATAATTATAAGTTCATCTTAGACCGGATCAAGCCGAAATAGGATTATATACATTCTCAAGGAGTCAGACGAGCGTATAAATCATAATCTGTTTTTTAAAAAGTTTTTTCTTTTTTTTGCAAACACCACCTTCGTTGAAGTTCGAATATCTGGGATTAGAACAAAATTAAGTTTGAGGATAATTTCAACACATAATAATTATTTTAATTTTCATATATATTACAAAATGTTTTTATTTTTGAAAATCCTGGAAAGATAATATATTTATCACACGTTCTCAAGCTAAAACAACACATCCTTTGATGTGTCATAACAATTCTCCCAAAACTCACTTAAAAAAATTAAAAATAAAAATAAATAAAACATCTCTGTCTACCTAATACTCTCTTCTTGCCTTGTGAAATTTCGAAAACATAAATAAGTTTAATGTCGAAAAAGGTCTTGTATATCGAGAATATCAGCAAGAACACCGGCAGCAGTAGTGTCATTCCCTGCTCCGGCACCTTGAATAACCAACGGTTGTTCCCTATAGCACCGGCTATATATCTCCAACTGCAAATCGAGTTCCATTTATTTCTATTACTTAATTCTAGAATATTAATCCAATAAATTACCCCAAGAGATGCTAAATATAGTGAAAACGAAAGACGTAAACGAGCAAAAACAAATGCATACCACGTTATCACTTCCTTTCAATCGACCCAGAGGTGAATCCTTCGCAACTTCTTGTATTCCAACTTCACACCTAGCAAGGTGTAAAAGGGCAAGTTCAAATGAATATACGATACCGGAGTATCTACTAAGAAAAAACATTAATATCAGATACCTGGATTCCTCGATCAAACAAACATATCGTAAAACATTTCCATTTGAAGAAGCAATATCTATCCGCTTTTTAATATCATTATCAAGAATCGGTAGGCCATTCACTAGAAATTCTTCAAGGGGCATTACATCGGGTCCCATTTCCACAGGGTACAAGCTTTCAACCTACGGCGAATATTCCACTTTTAATAATTTAATAATAATAAAACCCTATTTGTACAAGATGCAATAGGCGAGGCGCGTTGAAGAATAAACTAACCTTGATGCTGTCTAAGTTGATGCGATGTCCAAGAAGTCGAGCAAGTATCAGTGCCTATTTTCCCCAAGAAAAAAGAAGATGTGAAAAATATTGGCCACCTTTTATATAGAAAATAATGCTCTAGCAAATTTATGCTAAATTCACGGGAGATAGTTTTCGGACCTTTCTAGCTACATCCATTCCGCTGAGATCATCTCGTGGATCTGAGAGCGAATAGGAGATTCAAAATCAGAACAATATACATCTCCAAGAAACAGAAAAACGAAAAAAGAAAAAGATGTGGGGCTGCTATTACCAGGTTCGGTGTATCCAAGGCTTTTTGCAGCAGTAACAACTTGGCTAAAGGGTCTTCCACTTTCAACTTCACTCATCACGTAACCAAGTGTACCTGAAAATCAGACGCACGAGACATTTTTAGAGCTTAATAAGGAGAAAATATATATATATATATGGAACTACGGAAAAATATATACCACTCAAACTTCCAATGATACGGAAAATTGGATCTCCCGACGAAATAATACGATTTATAGTTGATATTACAGGAAGACCAGCACCAACCTACCACATAATAGGCATAAGAAAACTGTTATGCAATTTCCTAACAAGTGTTGAGGTTTTATGTAAAATTGCTTGCCAAAAGTTCGGTCTCAGTCTTGTTGTAGACCAATCGAGTTTTAACAAGAAAAAAATAATAATAATAAATAAAGAAAGAAATAAGTATAGAAGATAGAAAATATTATAAGAAAGACATGCCGATTGCAGCCATTGCATGAAAGTTTGGAGGACAAAGATTTTAGCTTTTAAATGTAAAGTTAGGACCAGCGTCGAATAAAAGATTTGATATTTCATTCACTACTGCCTCGTTACTGTTTGAAATTAAACCTATTTCGCCACAATTTTGTTGTTTCAGTCCAACGATATCGATTTTCAAATGATATATAGAACAAATAAACACTTACAGTTGACTCGTGTCTAATCCGTCGAGGCTGTGACACCAACTTGTCATAATATTCCTGAAATATTACATCGAATGAGATGCTTCAGTATAACATCGTTCATCCGACATTGAGCCGCATTCAATGATAGTGGGAATTAATCAACAAACACCGTCGGGACAAATTCTTAAATTCTTTTCAAATATCACCGAAATAACGAAAATGATCGTAAAGTCAAAAGAAGATTCAGTTACCAGTGAAGAAGTAAGAGGCTTCTTGTTTGCTAACACCACACAACAACGTTCTAAGTTCACTAATTCACTAAGCATGGCAATAGTTTGAGCGCTTGCTGAGCAGTCAACGAGGGTCAACCCTATCAAATAAAGCACAACCGCAAGTTAATCGAAAAATCACATATCGTAAATTGGGGAGCTGTATATGCAAATGTATATTGTAAATTGCAGAAAATGGCGAGGTGTGATTTAAACGGGATCGATAAACATAAAGATGAAAAAGATCAAACAATATTATATACCCTACCACTCAATTCACGTAGAGTAGAAGCGAAATCGACGACTTTCATCGCAATTTCTTGACCCGAAAAAACTTGGCATTCACCTACATTTCAACACAGAAGCCAATGATCTTATTTTGCACTACCTCAATACGAACAAATTGGCCAGTACACAATTAAAAAAGTGTACCAGAATTAGCCAATTCGTGCAGAGAAGCCCCACTGGATTTCAATTTGCAGAGTTTGAGTAAAAAATCGTCATGAAATTCGGAGGTTAAAATATCAGGTACAGCCACCATGGATTTACTGTCGGAAACTCCCACCACTCTCAGCCTAACCCCCTATTACATTAATAACATCGCAATAAATAATTAGAGAAATAATGGAAAATGAAGAGTGTGTGTGTATGACTGTAAAATGGAGAACCTGTTTGGAATGAATTGGCCGGCATGAGATGATGTGGCGGAGGAGTTGGCGGCCAACGCCGCCGCAGCCCATCAGAAACAATGGTATACTACTGACCATCTTCTTTCAATCTGATTTGTTTTTCGTTCGGAAACCTGAGATTGTTTGATGATTTGATCCGATGTTTGAACACTTCTTCAATTAGGGATGGAATTAGAAACCTAATTTTCGATAAATAAATTCGATTTCGATTCGATAATTTTCGATTTTGAGCAATATTTTTTTTATTTTAAATTAAAAAAATCTGATTTTCTATTTTTTTTTTTTTTGTAATCCGGATTAAAATTTCGAGTTTACATGAAATTTCGATTTCCCATCTCATTTTCATATTTGATAAAATGATTCTGAAAATTCCGAGAAAAATAAATGAAAATACATTAATAATATCAATTTGTATATATTGGGAAATTAATTTTGTGAATTTCGATTATAGAACTTCCATTTTGGAAAAAAATTATCATCTTTGAAATTCGGATTTTCGGATTTTCTTGGAACTGAATATGAGTTATTAGTTTGGGATAATTAGTGAAAACCCCCCAATACATTTGAGTAAATTATGATGGATATAATCTCATTTAGCATATTAGTGAAAGCCCCCCAATTTCATATTTCAATTCAGCATAAATCCGAATTTTAAGTGGTGTGTCTATATTACCCTACTATTTTTCATCCAAATTAAACCCTATTTACTCTATGAACACGTCGTCCTCCCCATCAGCCGCCCAAAAATTCATTCTCCTTCTCTTTCCTTCCGCTCTCCATTAAACCTCTACCACTCGTTTGCTCCTCAAAATCTCGGTCCCGACTTCGTATCTCGCCGGAGTTGAAGGACACATAGTGGAAGTACATCTATGTTACGTCGAAGGGGAAGAGTTAGATCCACGTTCAGTGCCCCACTCCTCTGAACCTTTGTCGCTGATTTTGCGTGAGCGATGAAAATCACAACTTTTCCGCTGGAGTTTACATCGATGACGACTATGGTTTTACTGATTATTGTAGCAACGGCGGATCCTATCAATATAGAAAATGATGGCACAAGTCATAGGTTTGGAAATCAATTTTTAATTACCATCCTTCCAACAAGAATTAAAAAATAAGTGGTTGCGATAGAATGTTTTTTTTATTTTAGTTTTTTTTTTATTTTTTTATTCTTGAAGCTTACTGTTGTTGATTTTGAATTTGGAATCGTGAGAGGATATTTGAATTGGTGTAATTAGACATGGTGGGTTCCCAATCGGTGTCCAACGTGGCCTCGTCTTTCATCCGCAGTCATAATCGTCACATCCGTCGTGGATTCGGGTATATGGTGTTTTCATACGTGGCATCATTCTTCATCTGCTGCCATAAATCGCCGCCATCCATTCGCGGATTGTGCAAGAAGATGTTTTTGTGGTTATATTCGCTCGATTTTATAGTAATTTTCTTGAATATAGTTGTTTTCGATTACGTAGTTGTTTTGGATTAAGTAGTTGATTTAATCAAAATGTAGTTGTTTTCGATTACGTAGTTGTTTTGGATAATTTATTAGTTGATTTTCGACAATTTTATAGTTGATTTCGAGAATTTTATAGTTGATTGTAATTTTTTATAGTTGATTTGCATTAGTTTCATTTTTTGTAAACTTGCTGTTGAAAACAACTATTTTTAATAGTTGTTTTATAGTTTTTTTAATAGTTGATTATGGAAAAAAAAAATAGTTGATTTCAATAAAAATAGTAGATTTAGTAATTTCGTATTTGATTATGGGGAAAAAAAGCTTAAAAAAAGTTATGAAAAAAATAAAAAAAATATATATATATATATATATATATATATATATATATATATATATATATATATATATATATATATATATATATATATATATATATATATATATATATATATATATATATATATATATATATATATATATATATATATATATATATATATATATATATATATATATATATATATGTGTGTGTGTGTGTGTGTATTTATAAATATATCAACTACGAGAAAACTAAAAATTACAAAACAAATAGTTAATAAAAAATAATTTATTATTCATTTTTTTAATAAATGAATAAAAATGGAAATTAATTATATAAGAGAAATAATTAAAAAAAATAAAAAATGTATCAGCGTATTAGTGGGAAATGCCTTAATGGGAAGTTAATAGTGAAGAGGGCATATTTGAATAAAGAAAGAGTTGGATTTATCACTAATAATGAAAAAGTGGTTGGATCCACCCTTATTAAAAAAAATACTAGAGGGGATTCTCACTAATAGTCCCTATTAGTTTTATTACACTTACAAACAATTCGTGTTTCGATCCGCCCCTTTTTCAGCACTAGATTCCAGTTGATTCTTTTGTTATGTTATTTGTAATTTTACCCCTACGGTCTACGGACGTCTGAATCTTCAACATGAGAATGTTGGTTTTAACCCCAAAACTTTGAATATATACAAATTCACCCTTCCAACCCTTCAAATGTAGCATGTTTTTTAATAATTTTTTCATTAATTTTCTCTTGGTGCTATTGGCTAGTGTGACCAAACACAATTAATTAAGTTTGAATTATAATAATAGAAACTTAGGGGTAGGCCGGTAGCCTCTCTTGTAGAGATATTGCATTTTTGCCCCCATAGATTTTAAATTATTACACACCCTACAATCTACATTAATATATTTTCTTCTTCTTTTTTCGTCTTCTTTTTTTGATAAATTATATTAATAGATGTATGTTACTTTGATCACGGCACCCATTATTTTCAAGTCAAATCCCAAAACCCAGATTTTGAACCTTACTTTTATAATTTTGTTGAAACTTATGGGCAAAGTATAGATTATAATGGATCACATAAAAAAAATAAAGCAAAAGAATTGATGTGCCTTCAAAATATTAAACTAAGGGCCCGATTTGTAAAATTATTTTAAACAACTGATAAATTCATACATACATCTGCGAAATCTACAGTTTGATTGTGTAACCGGTCTTCTCGTTTGAAAATGAAAAATGTAAGTAAGAGCTTGAAATATAATTTATTTATTTTAATTTGGAGAGATAATAATAATAGGGTAAATTAAAACCGTCCCCTGAGAGAAGGTCTATTTTCGGGGGAAAAAAACCCTCATTGTTTCATAATTACATTTACCTCTAGAAATTTGTAAATTTCTTACATTAACACTCTTTTGTAGGGGGGTGAATGTAAAACATTTACAAACTTCAGGGGTCTGCATGTAACTTCTACAAAATGAGGGGTTTTTTTGTAAACTAACTTTACCTCAAGGGCTGATTGTAATTTACCGTAATTAATTAATAAGTGAATTTAAATACAATTTTGTAGCAGGCTCCTATGGAACACGCAATTAATTTTCCCCCCTAAGTTTGCCAAACTTTATGAACAATGCCAGCTGCGTGTGTGTGTTTTTCTTCAACAAATCCCCAAATTTTTATTTAATTAATTAATTTAATACAAATATAAAAAATTATTTACCAAATAATTAACTGAATCAGCCAACAATCGGAAACGGAAACCACCATGGCGACCAAACCCCAAACCACCACCACCGCCGCCGCCTCCGTCACCGCCTTTCTACTCATCACCGCCTCCATCTTCCTGGCGGCACTCCCAAAAATCGAAGCGCAAACACCAGCACCCGCCCCCACGCCGCCGGCCGCGGCGGCTCCTTCTCCAGAATCACCGCCGGCATCCGCCCCAACTCCGCCGGACGCGGCGGCGGCGCCTGCTCCGGGACCGGATTGCATGACAGCTCTGTTCGATCTGGCCGATTGCCTGTCGTTCGTGGATGAAGGGAGTAATTTGACGAAACCTGATCCGCTATGCTGCCCGGAGGTGGAGGAATTGGTGAAGACGCAGCCGATTTGCCTGTGCGAACTGCTGAGCAACTCTTCTCAATTTGAAATCTCCATTGATAAAAATAAGGCGCTTATGCTGCCGTCTCTTTGCAGTATTGAAACCCCTTCGGTTAGCTTCTGTGCAGGTACGTGCAATTATAGTTACTGCATGCCTACGATAATTGAATTACTACTATTTACAATATTATATTTTAACCAAATTAACACTAAATTTTGGAGTTTGTAAAACTACGTTGAAGATGCTCTTATGCCAAAAGTCTAATCTAATTAATAAATTGATCAATCTATGGTGGAAATTGGAATAATCAGGTTGTAATTATTGTAATTAACGCTTTCGAGGAGAAAAAAAAAAATCGATCTATTCGAAAATGTAAAACTTTTACATAATTGAATTTAGTTTTAATAATTCTTGTTAATAATGTTGTTTCGGTGATAAGTGACTTGACTAAAGGCTCGTGTGGCTAAATTTATTTTAAATAGTTCAGATGATAAACTCTTACCTATTTTTAATTATTATAATATTTTTTTTAAATTACTTAATACTTTGGATGAGCTTATAAGCTATTTTTAACATTTTATAAGTTATTTTGTAGTTTTTGGTATTCCAGTAGCAGTTCCAGTTCCAGCACCAAGTCCAAACCCTACGGCAGGTAATTCTTGCTTCCACCCCCAAAAAAAAATATTATAAATATAAAAAGAGATTAAAATAATTGCACTGAGAAGAGATTTTTTTTTATTAATTATAATTTTCTATTGTTATTGAGTTAATTATTTTTTGTTTTTACATGTTGATCGATGGCAGCAACCCCACCTAGTGTAAACGAGGACAATGCAGGCACAAACAATTTATTACCATCTAACCAACATCTCCTCATCGGATTAACACTTGTTTTTTTCACTTATTTCCTTTAATCATGTAACTTTATTTTCTTGATTTTTCAGTTTTATCTGATGCTACTTTGAATAAATATTTGGATTTATATTAGTGGATTTCATTGCAGATACAAGTAATTTTTCTGAAAATTCACAATTTTGTGTATTTGTTAGCGTTACGCCCGTTGAATTGGTGCCGTTGTTTTTAGTCTCTCTAGTCTCTAGTAATTAGGACATTTAATACCTAGTCTTGGCACATTTTTTTTATATTGCGAGCCAACCCGAAAAGTTAATCGAATAACCAATCCGAAAATTCCGATTGTTTAATCGATCATGATTACTTTTACCAACCAAACAAGGCCTTAGCAAATATCACGAAAAATCGAATAAACTTCATTGCAAATGCTAATATAAAGAGGGGCATAAACAAATCGAGTCCAACCAAACGTATTTTCAAATGTATTTGACTTTTTCAAGGCACCATAATCGAGCAAAAACGAAAATCGAAAAATATTTCAGTAAAACAATTGATTAACATCATATTTCCATACATCATTACTAATTGATTAACACTAAAATAACAGTGTCAAAAAAAAACACAATCTACAGTTAAGCTTTTAGCTTCCCACTTACTCTACGCTTGCTATGCCACCCGTTCTTATCTTGATCCTTCTTTGCAGCAACCGAACACTGCGCTTCCTGCCCACCTCTAACACTCGTCTCCGCTTGAATCTTACGCCGCCTCATTCTATTTTCGACCCTTTTACCCCTCAAAGCTCTGACCCTCTGTTCAATATCCAGAGCTTGCGAAAAGTTCCATATTCTCACAACACCTTCTTCACCCGCACAAACAATTCGATCGAAACCGATCCCGACCGAGAACAAATTGCATTTAAACCCGTGCAACATTCTCTGTGGGGCCTCCACATTCTTGGATGAAGAACAAGAAGAATGTTTCTTGGTCTTCAACAACTCTCTGACATCAATAAGCGAAATCTTCCCATCGCTCGAAGCCGAAACAAGCCAAGGGAACTCGAACGCGAGAGAGTAAACGGGCCCGCTATGAGGTACCCAAGTTGCTGTCTTTCTTACACTGCACTTCGAATTACGGTTGATCTCGAACATGTGTATAGAACCATCTTCACCTCCGGTGAACAAAAGTTTCCCCGTGTGGCTTCTTGCCAAAGAATACACATTGCCTGTACGAGCATTGCCCGTGACCGCCAGCTGGCACCCGCTATTAGTTTCCCAAATGTAGACACAATTACCTGCGGTGCTCCCTACAGTAGTGTCGTGAGGAACAAGGCTCCACACCCAATCGTTATGCAACAGCACGTTCAGACATTTCAAAGACGAACGATCCCAAACGCGTATGGTCATATCCCAAGAGCCACTGTACATCTTAGTAAAATCCAACGCGAGGCAAGTGATGGGCCCCACATGCTCCCATAGTCGGAATTCTGTATCAAGATTCTGTGGGGACCGTAAGTCAAACAAGTGTGGGTTTTGATCATTGACTTTCCAACCGTGTATGAATCCACCTGTACCACCAGCTACCAAAAGCCTCGAATCGGCTGCAACAGCACGAATGGTGCAACCGAGGGGTTTGGAATATGCAATTGACAAACCTTCTTCCATGTCCCACATTCTTACTATTTGATCATACCCTGAGGTGAAGACTAGCTTCTTTGAAACTAAGACGAAGACTGTTCTAACAGCTTCTTTGTGGCCATACATTGTGTCGATGCTGTAACGGCCCATGTATGTCTTGCTTCGAAACTCCCTCTCGACGAAAAGTTCCTTCCATGATTTCTCGTTCGAACAGTCTGGCTCCAAACTGACTGAAGTTGCTGGATGGCCCCACCTTTCAAAGTAGAACTCCTTCCACACATGGTGCTCGGAGGCTAGCCTGTACAGAGATGTACTGACGCAAGATACAATTCCGAGTTCTTTTGGGTCGAGGAAATTGAGGATTTCGGATACCAAAGCAGGAGGGAGATCGGTAAATGACCTGCTGTGATTGGGCAGAGGCTCGATGAAATGGATCCCCAGTTTGCCATTTGATTTTAATGCACTTTTGAGGTTGTTCGCATCCAAAGATTCGATTTTTCTATTGTTGGACAGAAGAAGTTGATCTGGCTCTACTTTCTGTGTTTGGGGATTATCGAAGCAATTTGTTGAGGTGTCTTTTGATACGATTTTTGTATCCCTTTGGCATTCAAATTCCATAAAATGTTTCACCCTAAACTTAATTACAAATTCGACCCCCCAAAAAAATTCTGGAATCGACCTTTTTATTTCAAACTTCTGAACTATCACCCAAGTCAAAAATTGATTGACAAAACCCACGACTTAACGATAAACCCGATTCAATCACACCCTCAAATAGCAGAAAGGATAATAACTCAAACCCTAGATCGACGAGCGAAAATTGAGTCGGCTGAACAAGGAAAGAATTGAAATCGAAAAAGTGATAAAAAAAAATTACAAATCTGATGAGAATAAGATCAATGTTTTGAGGATTACTACAGAAATGGGGAAGGTATAGTTCTACAAAAATCAGAAGAAAAATGAAATGAAAACAAACGGAAGAAAACTAACAAATATCAAACGAAATTAGGGTGTGACTCAGATTGGGCGGAGTATATACCTCAAATATTCAAATGGCGAAAGAATTATGCTTCGCGAGAGACCCAATTCGAAGAACAATTTGTGGGTAATCGGAATTCTGCTCTAATTTACGACCGGATTTTCTCCTGTTTTCCTCTTTATGCCGATATGAATTTGGGAGGATATTTCATTCTGTTCTAATTGCATAGTAAATTGCACTATGCTCCCTGAAATAAAGTCTAATTATACATGGAGCTAAAAGTTCAAACAATTACAAAACCTCCCCTTTTTAAGTTTAATAAATGACACTTTTAACACAAATTCAATAAATGACACTTTTACCCTTGCCCAAAAAAACGATAAATTACCCAAATAATCGTCGAAATTTGATTTCAACCAACATTTACTCTACTTGATCGTTGATTTGTTAGAACGACGATCATTTAGTTTAAAATGATTGAGTCGTCTATGCGTCATCGTTAGCATCGTTTTTACTTACTGAATTTTGGTTAAAGATTTTGGCTAAAACCAAACATTAAGGAATGTTTGAGTAAAATTTACAAAACACGAGGGACTGTGCATGCAATTACACTAAAGTTCAATGGATGACAATGTAATTTATTCAGCATTTAATCAAAATAAAGACCTTTTTAATAAATCTTCAATCATATGAGGTTTAAAAAATAAATACTACAAGTTCTTATATCACAGCCTGTGTAGATAGAATCAATCATTCTACTTTGCTGCTTGGCTTATCTTCTAACTCAGCACCAGATTCCTCCGTTTCTTCGGCACCGACCTCCTCTTTCTCGAGCTTACTGACTCTGAATATCGCTAAATTCGCATCACCTAATAAACAATAATTTAAATAAAAAAGAAACGAAGTTACGGAGAAGTTTGTACCGTATGTACGTATATCATATTATGGTTTCATTTCAGCACGCATGCACTAATTTTTCGTAAAATTCAAATTCTCACAAGTGGAATATCCTACCGAATATAATGAGATTTCCGGGGGATGCGGCGGAAACTACTCCAGGCTGGAGCCGTTTTTCGTCGATGTAAGTACCGTTTGTGCTATCTAAATCCGTAATTAAGAGATTCTCTTCCGTCTTCCGAATCCGAGCATGCAAACCAGAAACTGCAATCGACGACGACTCAAAAGCAAAATAAAAACACAATGAACACGAGAAATAAATAAGTAGAGAGAATCTAATTTGTAATATACCGGTAGGCACGGAGATCACGATATCTGCTTTCTCACGAACGCGTCCGACAGTTACTACATCCTACAAATCATGTCAGAATCCTTAATTAGCTATCAGTATAAGTATTCGGGTTCGTAAAAATCGCAAGGGCAAAAATGTCAAATTTTCGGTAACGCTTACAGAAGCTATTTCAAATGCACCAGGCATGGCGGTTTTGTAGCCTATGTGCTTGAAATCACCATCTCCTGTCATTTGCCAAGTAAACCAAATATTCGAGTTTTTAAAAATTAATCGTATAAGCTTAAAGCCACAGTAGTTATATATTACAATATCGGTCGAATACGACACAAGTACGTTCGATTATTCTAACAAGAATCAAATGAAGGTAAAATATTGCTCTGTAATGCACGAAGCATGCAAGCTCCATTTTTTTTCGCTGAAAAGTTCTGCGTCGAAACCCGATCAATTATATAACGCTAATTATCACAATAATAGAATTATCGTTTGGTAATTGGCAAGTACATGTTTTGCTTACATTACACACACTACAAATAATTTCTTTATTCAACACAAGCATGCACCACCAATTAAAAAAATTGAAAATAAAATAAAAATAATGATTAGGAACCATCAATCGACCCATCTAGAAATTTTCGACTACTCGATCCAGTGGGTCGATTAAGAATTTATTATCCATCATTTTTTTTATTAAGTACTATTCTTTTATTTTATTTTTACTATACTCGAACACCAATATTTAATAAATTGGTGAATTCGTCGTCACTGCACAAAAACCAAGACGAATAATTAAATATAATGATAACACACATAAGTACAAAACTTAGTAACTAACCTATGGGCTGAAGAATCCATCTAACAGAAGCATCAACAACTGCAGTTCCAGATTCACCAGCAGCAGCTCTTATTATTATGCCACCAAACTTTCTCTCACTATATTCCCACTTTCTCTCACTAGATTCTAACTTTCTGTGCTGCCAATTTTTAAATCCCACAAAATTCAGAGGCCTATGGGCAAATATGGTTGGTGATATTAAAGAATTTGCCTTTGCATATGAAAGAGAATAATGAACTTGAATTTCCATTTCTTGATTTTTTTTTTCTTTTTTTTTTTTAATTTTGCTATTGAGAATATCAGTAGCCATTCAAAATTCTGATCATAGAAGAATAAAGAAAGGTGAAATAAGAGTACGTGGCACACATTTAATGCTGTAATAATGTTTTGGATAATCAATATCTTGGGCTTTTGGCCTTGTTCGAAATTTATGTGTTTCTTTTATTTTAGATATCAAGAAAATGAAGCCCATTTTGGATAGAACAAAATGAGTTTGTAGAGTTTTTGTAATGTTGTGTGTACATACGACTATATATTTAATTGAAAAAAAAATGAAGAAAATTTAAATATAGGATAATTAAAATTTTGTATTAAAGAGATAAATCATTATTGGAGAGAAAAAAAAAGTTATAAAAAAAAAAAATACTATCAGAACGGATTAGGATCTTGATAACAGATTTGCAAATCTGATTTGCAGTGAAAGTCATTAAAGAAAAGATGTAGGAAAATTGGAGATATAAAATTTATTATTACTATTAATTTTATAAAAATTACAAATATATCATTATAGTTTCTTAGACTATCCTATTGTGTCTTACTTATATATATAAATATTTAAATAAATTTGAATTTTTCTTTCTTACATGCATCGTCTAAGTATAATAGGTCGATGAAATTCGACAGATCGAAAATTCATAAATGTTTATTTGATTGCGTAGTCTCAACATTTTAGTTCTTTTCCTAAATAAGATGTAAGAATAATGTGCATAATTACTTCTATATATGTAGGTTACTTTATGAAGTGTTTTACTTTTAAATATTTTCTATTGGTCAACGATGAAGAATTAATGTTCACTTAAAAATTCATAATATTACGTGTGAGCAAGTTTCGTGGCGATCTCCTCTTTCACCTATTTGGAAGATGTTAGTGGCAAATTAATTTTTAGACTATGAGCACTCTTACCAAATTTTGAAATTGATGGTGTATGTCAAAGTTAATTAAATGGTAAATTATACATGACTTTTTCAATGACTATGGCATTTTCAATGTACCTAAATGTAACATGTTTTAGGTGCATAAAATATGGTGGCCTTTCAATGGTGATATTAATTAAATTTCCAATTATGCATGTCCAACTATGAATCCTATGTTTGAACATGATCAATTAAATGGATGGCCTTTCTATATTTGAAACATACACAATTTCTTCATTTGTTACCATATTAAATTATTTCTACATCTCTAGCTAGGATAGGGTTAATATAATGTTCAATTGAGTAAATTGAGTACGAGTCAACTGATCAAAGTTTGAATCCCTTTGCCAACAGTCATTATATCGAACTTATCACATATGATTAGCTCAGTGTAGTTTACATTTTTCGTATAATTTGCAATTTACTATACAAAAGTTTATGTTTACTCAGTGCACATATATAGTTGAATGTTGTTTCTTTATATATTGATTAGATTTCAAAAGACAGTATACATGTTAAAGATTTTCTTGATTTTTTATCTTCTTTTTAAAAATAGAGTCCATTAAATGAAGGTAACATCGGTTTATATTAGGCTACATTGAATTAAATTCACAAGCAGACAAAAAACACATTAATGTGTGTAGATCAACGGTAAAAATCCACTAAATAAATGTAACATAGAAATAACCATAAATTGAACCCATCATTACCTTCTTAGTCCTAAACCAACAACTCTAATAGTTAATTAAATAGTATTAATTCCCAATTAATGATTTGACAAAAATGTATAATGCTTTGATAAATGAAGCTGCCATAAAAGAAGACAAAAGAATCATAGAGAAAAAAATATCTTATTATTTTTAAGAAGCAATGTAAGATTAATTTATGGTTAATGATATACGCAGGCCAAATTAAACATTCAGGCATTTTTTTACCATAATTTTTTACCTTTTTACCATAACTATTTACCTTTTGTACTATTCCTACTCAATAAAAAGAAAAAAAAAAATTAAATTGTTGTGCTCGTGCAAAAGCATGCGAGCATTTCAACAGTGCTCATCTGATTTCACACGAGCACTGTTGAAATGCTCGCATGTTTTTGCACGAGCATCTTATAAATCAAAAAAAAAAATAAAAAATTAATCTGCTCGTGTAAAAACACACGAGCGGTTGAAAAGCGTTCGTGTGAAATCACACGAGCACTTTGCAACCGCTCGTGTGTTTTTACACGAGCAATTAAAAAAAAAAAACAAATAATAAAAATGCTTGCTCGTGTGGATTTACACGAGCACAGTGGATGCGCTCGTGTAAATTCACACGAGCAGGCCAACGTGTGATTTTTTTTGTTTTTTTTTTCCGGATTCGTAATCTACATAACAAGAGGATCGTAAAAACGTAAAAATTACCTCCGATCTGTTGACGATTTGCACGGGCTTTGCGAAAGAAAATCGAAAGGTTGAGAGAGTTTTGAGTTTTTTTACTTTTTGTTTTTTGAAAAATGGTAAAAAATGTGCCTGAATGTTTAATTTTGGCATGCACAAATCATTTCAGTTAATTTATTAAGAGTTTTAATATTTATTATTATAATAATTGTAAACAATAATATACTTTTAGCAATGACTGAAAATTTGTGATACTTTATGTACCAAAAAAATAACAAAGTTAGGCAAAATAAAAAAAATAAATAAAAAAATAGAAAAAGGATAAAATCACAAACCCCAAAAACACTTTCTCCCTCGTATAAATAGCAGAATTTTAGGCTTTCTGCTATCTGGTTTTGAGTTTATTCATTCTCTCTCACACACTGCACACACTTACACACATAGTAGTAGTAGTAGAGAGAGAAAGAGGGATGTGGGGATGGCAATCATCAACACATAATAAAAACAAAGAAAACATGCAAATGGATACAAATTAAATGAAGGGTTCTTAGAGTGTGTGAGAGAGAGGTGTGTGTGTGTGTGTTTTTCCTCTCTATACTATGTGCAGCAAATGAATCTGAAATGAGGTGTTGTTCATCCCTCAAAATTCTCCTCTTTTTTCTCTCTATATCTGCCATCTAATTCTCTCTCCTCTTTCTCTCTCTCTTTCTTAATTTTTATTTTAATTTTAATTTTAATTTTTATTTTGAAATTTAGCATCCCATCAGCTTACACCTCTCTGTCTCTACAACATACAATTTCACCATACTCTCTTCTTTCTCTCTCTCTCTTCCTTCTTTCATTTCTCTCTCTTCCTTCTCTCTTTTCTCTCTCTACCTGAACAAGTGGATCTATTCTTGATGTCATTTTCTTTTCTCACTCATCGCACAATAGGGTTTCATGAATTTTTTTCGCCTTTGTAATTGTATAATTTGTATACACCAGAACAAGATTTAATTTAATTTGTTTTTGTTTTTTGGGTTTTCAAAAAGTTTCAATTTTGATGATTCTGTGTGATGTGTAGCCTTCAACAAAAATTCAGCTGAATCACTATTTTTTTTTTTCTTTTTTTCTTGTTTTCGAGTGTAATTTGAGCCCAGATTTGCATTTTTCAGACTCTATTTCCATATATTATCCGGGAACTAATATATTTTTGTATTAATTCCGAACCGAAGTATTCTGTTTCGCATTGAATGTGCATGAGATAATCTCAGTTAAGATGTAATTTCTTTTTTCACATGCTTCTTGTGATTAAATTCGATTTTTTGTTCATTTACTCATTATGGATATTCAGATCTTAAACTCGACTTGAGTGACAAATGTTTGTTAATGATGACACTGCAATGTTTAGTATTTTATTGATGATCTATGCTGAAATTTTCATTTGCTTCTAGGTTCTCAGTCGATGAATGCGCTTTTTCTGATTTTTTTCTTTAAAAATATGTGTTTTCGTATTTTTGATGAATTATAGCTAATTCTTTTCCGCAACTCACAATTAAAAAAATAGTCTTTTTATGGAAAAATGTTCGTCACACCTAATTACCTTTTAGTGTGTTTGCTGAATAATCGAAGGTTTTGGTTTTGCATGCATGCAAATTATATTCTTGTTTTCCGTGCTGCGGTAGTAAAGTATTCGTTTTTCGTTTTAGATAATTGTCCGTCAGCCCAGTTTAATGTAGAATTAGCGGGGAATTTGACAATATACGTTAGTTGAAAGTATGGTTTTTTATCTATCTAGTCGAGTGGTCATGATGTTTTCTTAACTCTCATAATTGATCACTCAAGTATTGGTTGTTGAGGACGAGATTCTAAAAATCCACATTCAGATTCCTCCATTTCTTTCCTTTCTGAATTGTGTAAGATTGCGAAGTCGTGGTTTTACTTTATATATGGGCTTTGTGTTTGACTTTTATAAACTCAGTTGGACTGATGATTTGCGAGAAGCATATCGAACTTTGACTTTTATTTTTGTTCCCCACTCGTTTCTGTTTTGGTGACGTTGTACATAAGAATTTGTGGAGTAGGTTTATTTCATTCTTGGAATACGATTGGTTGATCGAGTAAATCAAAAAATTGTCTACATGGCGTGTCTTATCTTGTAAAATGCATGTGACTGCATTGCAAATTACCCGAATAAATTCTTGTCGTTTTCTTGATTTGTCGTATTTCTGATTGCATTGAATTCAAGCTCTGTTTATTCTCTTTTTCATTTCTTGCTCGGTCTAATTGTTTCTTTTTCTTGCTCTTTTTTTTTTCAGAAATTAGGAAATGAGTATGACAAGTGAAAGTGACGAAAGGATGATACCAATCAACGGTGCAGATTCACCGTCCACCGACGATGCCAACAGTGGAGGCGACGGTGGTTTGAACGGTCCACTGAAAAAGGGTCCTTGGACTTCTGCAGAAGACGCAATTTTAGTCCAATACGTAAATAAAAATGGAGAAGGGAACTGGAATGCAGTTCAGAAACACTCTGGACTTGCTCGATGTGGAAAAAGCTGCCGCCTTAGGTGGGCCAATCACCTTCGACCGGATCTTAAAAAAGGCGCATTCACAGCTGAGGAGGAGCGCCGAATTATCGAACTTCACGCCAAAATGGGAAATAAGTGGGCCCGCATGGCTGCTGAGGTGTGTACTATCTCTGTTTTCATTTTTGGCATATTCTCGTGTTTATCCGTTTTTTGCCATGTAAGCACATGCAGATGTACGTGAGTTTGTCTGCATGGCAGTTAAGAACGTAAAAAAAAATCGTGATATTATTTCAGGTGAGTAATTATTTCAGGCGCACTTTTGTGACGAAGCAATATCCTGTACTAAAATGACCATTTTCCCGAGTTTACGGGAATGTCGGTACTATGGTTTATGTCATTGCTATTGTTGTCGATACCAATTCCTTCCTGATTTTGGATTCCCGACAAGCATATGGTTTTTTCCTTTCATGATATTTCGTTAGCTCTATATGCGATAACAATTTTCCTTTCATGATATTTCTGACACTATTTATTGTTCGTGTTTTATCGACTTCCCTCATTTTTGATTCTTTTACCACCCCTCGATCTATTTCATGATATTTTGTTAGCTCCATATGCGATAAAGATTCTACGCTGTCGTGTTGTAAAGATCTATGTACTACATTGTTCTTGTTTTATTTAAATTTCTTCATTTGTCATCTTATTCAATACCCGTGTATCTATTTCAGTTGCCTGGCCGCACGGACAACGAGATCAAGAACTATTGGAACACAAGAATCAAACGAAGGCAAAGAGCGGGCCTACCAATCTACCCGCCCGACATTTGTCTACAAGCACTAAACGAGGGCTCACAACAAAACGAAGACACAATCAACACTTTCTCACCAAACGACGTGCACCGTCCCGACTTCATCCAAATCAGCACCCTTGATGTCCCGAGCCTCGAATTCAAAGGCTTGGAAATCAACCAACCGCTCTACCCTCTCGATATTCCCTCAAACACCCTCCTCGATATTTCCACAAATACCCTTCTCTCACAAGGCCTCCACCCCCACCCCCACCCCCACAACCACCCCTTCTACCTCCACCCCCCCTCGAAGCGCCTACGTAGCGGCGCGCCTGAGTCGATGTTCCCTTGTATAAACATTGTTCCTCCTATCGGTATGAGCCAATACCAAAGCAACGATGGTTTATTACTCTCTTGCCCTTCTTCTGACCCCTCTGCTTGGGCTATGAAGATGGAGCTCCCTTCACTCCAAACTCAAATGCGTAATACTACTGCAAATACTAATTGGGGGGGCCCACCCCCCTCGCCAGCTAATAATCCTTTCTTCGAGCCGGCGGATGTTTTGATGCAATCGCCTCCCCCGAATGAAGGTGCACAGTTGTGTAATCTCTCGCCACAAAACAGTGGCCTGTTGAATGAAGTTCTGTATGAATCCGGAGCTTTGAATAACTCGAAAACGAGCTATAGCTTTCCGCAGCCAGATTCTTATATTGACATTGACAGTTCGAATGCAAATGTTTTGTGTGACGCGGAATGGGAACCGTACGGTGAAAGGCTATCTCCGTTAGTTCATTCGCTCGATGATCCACATTCTGACGAGACAAAGCAGCCAGGTCTGATTATTTTATAAATTTTAATTCCTGGTTTACTTATTGGACTGACGTTGATTACTCACTCCATTTCAAATTAAAGTGTTGCTTTGATTTTTTATTTTTTATTTTGGTTCCATATGATCTGTCATTGATTGCATTTTTGTGTTTCATACCTAAATTCTCTGAACTTATTATTCTCAGAAAAGGAGGTACTCCCTCCATTTCTTTTGAAGTGTCACTTTAGCCGTATATTTTTTTCCCATATTGAGTGTAACTTTAGAGTTTAGAGTTTGAACGGAGGATTATATTTTTTTTCCATCTTTACCCATAGATTAATGAAATGAGAAAGAAAAGATGAAAAACCTCAAAGGGTACTTTGGTCAAATGAGGTCTTTTCCCCCAAAATCAAGACTATCTTGATATGTTTATTAATTGATGTGCATCTACTATAAACTTGATAAGTATTCAAGAAAGGGAGGGAGTAGTAGTTAGTGGAGAGATAATTAGGGGTAAGGGGTATTTTAGTCATAATGTCTTTATATTCCTAAATTCCTTGAATATTTATTAGCTTTTCTCTTCAATTATTTGCTTTACGTGCTTTTAATTTTGGTTTTGCTGATTTTATTTATATCTGATTATTAGTCAAAGACGAAGATGACTACCTCAATCCAATGCAATATAATGACAAATTCGAAACGAACCCGACGATATTCTCCAAGCCGGATTTCATGTATCCCTCCACCTCGTTTGATGGTCCGGTAAAACAACACCCTATGAACGACAATTACTTGTTGAAAGATGTGATAGGAACATTTCTTGGGGATGATTTTAGAGACTGCAAGAAAATGGACACAGGTGCCACGTCATCATCTCAAGGACACTGTCACGATTCTTGCGCTTGGAATGTCATGCGTACTATTTGAGTCCTTCATTTGCAAAATGACAGACTTTTCAAAAGGATGCTTTGTAGACGATCTTTTATATATTTCATGATGTGAACTCAACATATACTCTCGGTTGTAACGACTTTTAATCATTTTGGGTATGAAATTTGGAATTGTTATGTCATGTCCGGTTGGGATGTCTTCTTGTAACAACGATATTTTGCATGACAATTTTGTTGTCTAAGTTAATGAACAAATATTTTGTATTATTGCAACTGGATGTCATTTGCTTAATGAATTTACTGTTTAATTTGTTTTATTGTTGGTTAGTTTGTTTAACTTGTTTTACTGTTGGTTAGTTTTGTTTTGGGACAGACTGGAAAATTCTTTTGCTATTACTATTCATATTTTATTACCCATATTCCGCGACTTTAACGCCGCTGCAATTTGATCGCTCGATACCCAAAACCGTTGGAATCGGAATCTTGATACCAGAATCCTGATCATATCGCTATATCTTGATCGGTATAGTCTAGCATATACATGTATAAGTTGTGAATACATATTTCATGAATCTTTATCCCTATACTCTAGCATATACATGTATAAGTGAATACATATTTCAGACATACACATATGTATACATAGTCGGTTCTAACAATTTGGAGGTGTCAATTGAAGTCCTACACTTATTTATGCTTTTCCACTCTTTAATCCCTATACTCTAGCATATACATGTATAAGTGAATACATATTTCAGACAACAATTTGGAGGTGTCAATTGAAGTCCTACACTTATTTATGCTTTTCCACTCTTTAATGGATGGTAATAATTTGTTTGATCTTATTGTTGATATTTAACATTCAAGATGTCTTCTAAGAAGTAAGTAAAATAAACAAGTTTTTAGAAATTCCATATAAACCTCTAGAATTTGGTAATAACTTTCGACATATTTATAGAAAATTTATATCTACCAAAATTGTATATTTTGTGTTTCGTCTTACTCACTAGTTTTTTTAAAACTTGATTCGAAATAGATGGAGTTGTGACACCTTAGGACATCTCCAAGAGTGTAATGTAAACCTATATTTTACACAATATTTGGCTTCTCAAATTTGAGAAACCAAAACTACAATTTAGCTAACACAAAAAATATTAAAATAATGTTATATATATATATATATATATATATATATATATATATATATATATATATATCAATTAAGTAATTGAAATTTCTTTTATCAAATTTAAAATTATTTTTGTATACTTATTAATTAGTATTATTAGTTATTATTATATTAACTAAAATAAAAGTCAAATAATTTTGAAAAACAAAAAAAAAATATTAAATATTCAACGTATAAATATATTTGTTTAGAATAATACACATTTTTATTAATATTTAATAATAATTGAATATCATGTAGAAATAATTAAATATTATAATTGTATAAAATATAAACAATGTTGTTGGAGTTCAATGTTAAAAGTGGAGTGCTAAAACACTGTTAATTTGTTATATTATAGAATATAGATACAAACAACTGTTTTTAGACAAACTGTTGAAGATGACCTGAGCCTCATTTCATGTTAGTTATAGTTATTCATTAACATAATATATTATTTTTATAAACTTTTTATCTATTAAATAACCACATTGTAAAATACATCAAATACTGATGCAAACTTCGTCAATATGAAAAAATATTTGATATGTAAATGATTATGTAAATGGAAAATGATAAAAATATGCATATAACCTCAATAAAACATTATTTGAATATTACTCTTGACAGTTTCTAAAATAAAATTATGAACATATTTTATCATAGACTTATGACAAACAACATACTTATTTTGTGTATTTGTTAGAGCAACGTCAACCGGGTTATTAAATAGGTTATCAAAATTCTTTAACTTTCATTTGACTCCTCAATTTTAAACTCTCCCCTCCAATAGGGTTATTAAAATAGGGTTCTATTTTGATAACTCATCTTTCGGGGAGTAAAAAATACATCCCAAATAAATGGTTATCAAATATTTTCCTAAAAGATAGGAGCACGTGAAAAAAGAAAAACCTCAACATAATTGAGTTTTCTTTATTTACGTAACAATCTCAATAGAATAAAATTAAATTTTCTACATCTTCAACAAATTTCCACCGGAAAAAAAATCTCAACATAATAAAATTAAATTTTCTACGTTTTCAACATATTTTTTTTTTCTTTCTCTAGAGCTTCAACAAAGTTCCACGGAAAAAAATAATCTCTATTTATATATAATTTTTTTTTTCTATTGAAAAGGTAAAAACTTGATTAATATTGATTTTGAAGATAGTTTACCAGAAAAATCGATTTGTATAATTATTTAAAATAGATTGAAAAATAAATAATATATAAATAATCATAAATTTGTTTGATAATTATTTTTTGATACTTGTGGTTGGAGTTCACTAGTTGTATAGATATATCAAAATATAATTCTGGCATTTGATAACAATAGGTTAGGAGTTGCTCAACAATAAAAAAATATGGACTTTTGTAAAAAGAAAATTTGAAAGTTGACTTTTCGTATCTCTAATACAATTGGATTTTAAATGCACTTATTGAATACATTTTTAATAAATTAATTTTATTTTACTAAAAAAATAAACAAAAAAATTGAAGCAAATAGTTTTTAAAAATATATTATATCATGAGGATATTCCAATAAATCCAAATAATTTAATATTATAATTTTTTTTAATCTTAAAACATGTCTGATTAATTACATGGGAGGTAGAATCCAAGAAAATGACAGAAAGAAAGAGAAGAAAGATTCACCCCCTCTCTGGTAAACCCCCCACCCCGCGCCGCCCCCGTCGATAGAAGAAGCACGAGTGGCAGAGAAGTAATTTGAGATACAACTGAAGCTACGGTGTTTGCGTTTGGAAAAAAAAATGGGCGAAGCAAGTAAGATGGTTTCTGTGGAAGAGGCGCTCGAGATACTGCTCAAGGCCGCGCAGAGGCTGCCGCCGGTGACGGTGCCGCTCCACGTGGCGCTGGGCAAAATCTTGGCCCAAGACGTCGCTGCTCCCGACCCACTTCCGCCGTACCCAGCTTCCATCAAGGTTTCTTCCTCTCTCCCACACCTTAATAATGTGCCCGCCATGTGTTTGTTTATATTACTTTCTATGTGGAAGACGTTAATTTGTTGGGTGTAGGTGTTTTAAGTTATTGGTTTATGTTGGTTGGAATATTTTCTTCAGATTGAATTTTCTGGAATGAATTATTATATAATTGTTCTGTTAGTGTTTTTTTAGGGTTTTTCTTGGGGGTGGGGGGAATAAATTGCACCAAATAAGTACTGAACAACTAGTAAAATTGAAGCTTTGAGTAGCATTTCTTAAGCTTAGCCTAACTTCCTAGGTTTTTCAGTTTCCTTCTTTGAGCTAAAGCTACCTCGACTAGTATTCGACGAATGTTTTGTCATACTGTTTCAATTTTTATTGATAGCACAAGTTTTTTTGAATATTTTAAGCTCCTAATTTACGATTCAGTCTACTGCCGCTAATGGTAACACCTATCATACCCTAAAACTCGTTTAAAACGTATGGCATCGGTTCGAGGTTAACTGTATATCCATTGTCAGTCTTCGTCTTCCTTTTACTGATCCCGCTTTTTTTCCTAGTACAAAGAAAATTCTTAGTTATCTTAGTTCATAGAACATATTCTTCCAGCACTAATTCTTCGATCGTTGAGTTTAATAGATATTAAATTTATTCATGAGTTTCTATTTGATGGTTTTGCTGAAAATCATTATTCTGTTCTTGGTAGGATGGGTATGCGGTAGTTGCTTCAGATGGTCCCGGAGAGTATCCTGTGATTACCGAGTCAAGAGCGGGAGATGATGCTATTGACGTCACAGTGACACCTGGCACAATTGCATATGTGACAACTGGAGGTAAGTTTCTGGTATACAAGATCTATTTATTTTTGGTGAGTTTTTCTCGACCCATATCATTGAACAATGCACCATTTTACACGTTAAAGTCATTTCTCGAGACACTTTTTGTTCAGGACCTATACCTAATGGTGCTGATGCTGTTGTGCAAGTGGAGGACACTTTACTGGTAGAGAGTGCAGTTGGTGGTCCAAAACGAGTACGTGTATTGAAACAGGTCGCAAAGGGACTCGATATTAGGCCAGTGGTATGAAGCTTTTCCATTTTGTTACATTATGTGTTGAATCAACTTCATACTTTCTCTTAAATAAATAAATTAAATAGCTATAGAGCTTAGTCGTAGTTCCTGGCTGTTAATGATAGTGAATATTGACGTGGTTGCCCTTTTTATTTCGTTTTAACCTCCATGTAATTGTGTTCCTAGGGTAGTGATATTGCTAAAGGTGATGTAGTATTGAAATCCGGAGACCATCTAGGCGCTGCAGAAATTGGCTTACTTGCTACAGTAGGCATTACAGCCGTAAAGGTACTCATTTTTCCTATTCCGTTCGTCTCTCGTCCTTCTCCATTTATCACTCGTTTTCGGTCCTCAGAACTTTGTGCTTATGCGCAGAAGGAACTTCTTAGAAACTTACTGACAAGGCTATGTACAGGTGTATCCAACCCCAAAAATTGCGGTGCTATCCACAGGCGATGAACTTGTCGAGCCTACAAACGAGTCTTTAAATCGTGGCCAGGTAGTGGAGTTTTTCTATTTGTATTTTGTTATTTGAGTTTCCATCTGTTTGGACAGTGCTCGTCTCCCTCACTTCTTGTGGAAGCTGGGATTGATTTTGCTGATTTTAATATCGTCATATTAAAACTTGGAATGTGTGATTTGTGGAGCATTTCACCAAGGCTGTGTATTTTGGAGAGATTTTCTGTCACATGTTTCTCTGGAGTTTTCTTTCGGATGTTTTAATTTTATTTATGGCAATTTATATTTGTCTTTTTTCCAGTGAAATGGTATTTATATTAGTATGTCCTTAAACGTCAACGAACTTATAATTTGGAACCAAAATATGATGGTTCAAGATGATAATTTGTTTCTCTTTCTCTCTTTTTTATCCCGTCTAAATGGTAGCTTCAAAGAGCGGACTTGTTAAAAGAAAATCTGATGTATTTTAAACTGTAGGTTTCTTATAAAAATGCTCTATCCTTTTGCAGATTAGGGACTCCAATCGTGCCATGATCCTTGCTGCTGCTGTGCAGCAGAACTGTGAAGTTGTTGATCTTGGCATAGCTCATGACAATGAAGAGGAAATCGAGACCATATTCGATAGAGCCTTTTCTAGTGGAATCGATATCCTAATAACTTCTGGAGGAGTTTCAATGGGGGATCGGGATTTCGTTAAGCCTTTACTTGAAAAGAGAGGAAAATTACATTTTCACAAGGTAGTGCTCGCAATTTCTGCATCCTTATTTGACTCCACTTTGAACAAATTACATTTTAGGAATATATATGTATATATTAAATAATAATTTTTTGTCATGATCATCATTTCAGGTTTGCATGAAACCAGGAAAGCCTATTACATTTGCCGAGATCCCTTGTGGATCAACCGAGAGTAAGGCTGGAAAAAAGATTCTTGCTTTTGGTTTACCTGGAAATCCAGTTAGCTGCTTAGTCTGTTTCCATCTATTTGTCGTCCCTACAATACGTCGCCTTTCCGGATGGATACACCCTCACCTTCCAAGGTTTTTCAGAATCCAGAGTCGTAAATTTCCGTCTTTCTGTATAATCTCTCCATCTTTCATCTTGAATACTCATTCTTCGCTTACCTCCTAAAATCAGTCCATTTAGTAATAGTATTTTTATGTGTTTATATCATGGGGCAGAGTACATGCTCGTCTTAAGCATTCCGTAAAGGCAGATCGAGTTCGTCCGGAATTCCATCGCGCCACTGTCAGGTGGGAATTTACTAAAGATGCAGAAATTTCAGGGTAAGATCTCTCTCTCTCTCTCTCTCTCTCTCTCTCTCTCTCTATATATATATATATATATATATATATATATATATATATATATATATATATATATATATATATATGTATGGGGTGTGCCATTGCATGTATAAGCTTCACCAGTGTTATTTTCCCATCTTAATAATGACCGCCAGATTTGTTGCTGAGAGTACTGGTCACCAAATTAGCAGCCGACTTTTGAGTATGAAGTCAGCAAATGCTTTATTGGAACTGCCGCCTACAGGCAACTCGATTCCTGCTGGAACTTCTGTGGTTGCAATCATCATTTCCGATATAATCGGTTTTAGTGGGACCCACAATTTGCCATCATCAGTCACAGTACCATTAACACAACAAAGCAATGTTAGGGATGTTATTACAGGCAAGTCTAACGGTTCCGAGTCTAGAGTGGCCATTCTCACTGTGAGTGACACTGTTGCATCAGGGGCAGGGCCCGATCGAAGGTACTTCTCATCTTTATTATCTTTTCACCGATATTGTACTTCCAATCCTTGCATTGACCAAAGGCTGAATTGATTGGTAACAAATTAACTGGAATAAGTTGCATCATGATACATCTTTCTGAATCATCATTCCAGAGAGGTCACTTTACTGATGCTATAACAAAAGCAAAAAAGAATTGATCTGCGTCCATGTGAAAGAATAACACGGACACACTTCAAACTTTGCGACAAAATTCAGCTGATTGAATGACATTTACATTTACGTGGTTGTCGTTAGTCGTAATGTTTTAGCTTCGGAAACTCGAGCTTTCTGTTCACTTGATCTTAATCATTCGTTTAAACTGATGATATCGAAAATAGCCATTGACAATATTCAGTCTCATACCAAATTATGTAATTTGAAAACTGTCATCGTAAAAGGCAGTTACTGTTGTGCTTTCGTTTTACTTCCTATTTTGCATTATACTTCCTAAATCATTGATTTTTTTTCTTGGCTCGATATATTTGATTTTGTAGTGGCCCACGGGCAGTATCTGTTGTTAATTCATCATCGGAAAAATTAGGTGGGGCCACTGTGATTGCTACAGCAGTTGTTCCAGACGAGATTCCAAAGATCAAGGAATTGCTTGAGAAATGGAGTGATGTCGATAAAATGGATCTCATTATTACTCTCGGTGAGTGTGTCAATTTCCTCAAACAGGTTTTGGTTACACGGTGTAGTCGATATTTGATTATCTGCCTTCTGCCAATTTTTATTTTCTTAATTACGTGACAATTATTTGGGTTTTACTTTTAATTTTCTAAGTAATGTGAAATGAAATAGGTGGTACTGGATTCACCCCAAGAGATGTTACCCCCGAAGCTACGAAACAAGTGATACACAAAGAGACGCCCGGTCTTCTTTATGTTATGATGCGAGAGAGTTTAAAGGTAACTATTTTCTCGTTATGGTATATATATGTATATATATATATATATATTGCGGATTTGAGCCTACGTACGGGGCTATATCTAATTGTATGTAATTCTTAAATGACGAGAGGCCAAGAAAAAGAAAAAAAATTGTTTTGATATTGAGATTGAAATTTCCTCTTAATCGCGTGTACCGTTTGTTATTAATTATTGTCCGATCATCATGATCAGGTGACACCATTTGCGATGCTATCGCGCTCTGCTGCCGGAATAAGAGGGTCAACATTGGTAAGCCCACATCCAATTCGGTTAAATCTAAATTTGCTGGAGTTAATCTTATGTACAAGTTATCTAACTTTTAATATGAAATAATAAATCAGATAATAAACATGCCCGGAAATCCCAATGCTGTAGCGGAATGTATGGAGGCTTTGTTACCGGCTCTTAAACACGCGTTGAAGCAAGTAAAAGGCGACAAGAGAGAGAAACATCCTAACCACGTACCTCATGCACAAGCTGTGGGCCCTACCGGTACTGATACGTGGGAACGTAGTTATAAGTTGGCTGCGGATGTTGCTCAAGAAACTGGCTGTTCTTGTTCGCATTAGTTAATCTGCGATACGAAACAAATTTGACAGACTTGTTTTGAGAAAAAGCTCTTGTAAGCATTTTTTTTTTCCTTTTTTTTTTTTCTTTTTCGTTAACGAATATTTATGGTAACAAAGAATAAAACGTGGAAAAGACGCACGTGTCAGCATTAAAGTGAAAAGAGTTAGTACGAAGAATGAGTTTTAACATGGGATATCTGGTTTCACATTATTCATTTTGCCAGTAGATGGAATTTACTAGTGAATGTGAAATTAAAGCTAATCTGAGGTATTGGTTATGGCGGTATGATTCAAACTCTAGATGATTTATTGGGTCAAAAAAATAAAAAAAAATTACCATAAAGCTCTTTGGAATATAAATCGGTACCCTTGGGGTATAGTCAAATTATTTTAAAAAAAAAGCCCTTGTCTTTGGGTAATTATTATAATAACCTCAAATTCGACATAATCTTTTCAATTTCATGGAATGTTCTATAGTTTGTAATCAATGCAGTTGATGATGAACCAAATATGATTTTTTACAAGTCAAGTATGATCATATTGTTTCAAAATGTGGAGCTCGAAAGGGGTAAAATAGTTACAAACTGGAGAATGTTTCACATAATTTAAAATATTTCACCAAATTTAACACCTGAACGTGTAAGAAGATTCATAGTTGATCGGTGGTTGTAATTATCAAAACAAGAGGTGTTTTTTTCTTTATGCATATAAAGTTTTTATAAGCCTAACAATTCAATCCAAGCCCAATAAGATTAGCTGGGTCGGGTTTGGTTCAAATCGTAATTGTGGTTATAGTCGGGCCGTGAAAGGCAAAAATGCAATCCAAGCCCAATGCAAAAAAAAAATACCAATTATATCAGAGCCAGGTTTCGATCCTGGGACCTGTGGGTTATGGGCCCACCACGCTTCCGCTGCGCCACTCTGATTTGTTGAACAATTTCTCTTTAGTTTATTATTTATCACTTGTTACAATACAGATACTCAGAAAGGCCAATCAATAGCTGCCACCTGTAAAGCAAAATTCTAAGGGCCAAAAGATATGCTCAAGATAGTGAGTGCGCGAGTAGGGTTTTTTCTTGTCGAGAAAGCAATTACTTTTTCTTCCAAATTTTTTGTGCTTCTGTTCTTAGTTTAATATTTTTAAATCATCACCACCTTCTATCTTGATCACAATAATATTTTCACTTCGATTTCAGCTATTTTTCTGCCTTTTGATTTAATCGATGGCTAAACAATACGCGAGATGTACGTCGAGAAGTTTGTCGAGTTGAAAGCTTTTATGGCTCAGATGAAATATGAGACTGATCACGGAGAAGTATTTTGCCGCGAGGGTTTCTTGAACGGTTTGATCGATTAATTAGTAGTTGATCGATTAGGAACGGTTACGATTTCGGTTCCAGATTATTAGATGTATAACTTATAAGCTTGTCTGAGTTGGTTATCGATAACGGGCCGACAAAGTGCGTCTAGAAGTAGAAAAAACACCGTTCATTGATTATACGGATACTGTTTAAAAAAAGAAGTGACGACTAAGAAAGGCTCGAGAAGGGAATGCGTCGCTTGACAGTTACTAGATACGGTTAAGACTTAAGTTGTATTGCGTACTATTTACTAGTTTCTACTATATAAATAAAGTCTTGTTTGTTTACTAAAATAAGATTAGCCAAGATAAGATTAAACAATTAAATGAAAATTCAATGAGTAATCTTCCGAAATACAAGATAGACTATGATATATAATATTTCGGAGTTGATTCGAAAAATTATTAATTTTACAAAACATGAAACAAAATCCAATTATTTAATTTTATAACGACGACTAATGTCCCAACCAAATTAGGTCGAGGAGTATTAAGGTGCATGGTGTTTGCAAAAGCTTTTGGAAATAACTCATGAGTTTTTCTTTGTTCATAATTTGTTTTTACGTGGTTTTAACTTCTCTTAAAATAAGTTGTTTTAAACAATTTTTTTTAAAAACACCCTTAGATCTATCTTTTCTATTTAACTTCATTTTTCAAAATATTTTCATTCACTTAATACCTACTTAGCTCACAAACACTAACTTCTGCTAGAATAAACTTTTGTAGAGACCACCTAAGAGTGAGAAAAAGCAGTTGGGCGATCTGATTAGTTTAGTTTCGAAAAGGAGATTAACCAATTATTAAATGGTTTTATTTATTATTATTAACTAAATAATAGTTCTTTGTTAAATGTTTGGTATTTCCAATAACTTGTCGGGTCGAACCGCAAATATTATGACATCATGCCTTATAAACATATTTTTGTATTGAATAATTAATCAAATTCCAATAATATATTAGTTCCATCAAATTATTTAATCTTATCTTGACCAGAATAATACGACACCATAACATATTATTAACATATGCCTTATAAACATATTTATGTAATAATGAAATGTTTATATATTTTTTGTGAATAGTTTAATTAAAAGAATATTCCAATCAAGGGCTTCTTAATTAAATAATTCCATATATTGGGTATTCATTGGTCCAAACCCAAATAAACTAGGGCAAGTGGCCCAATGGCTCCATTAAGGCCCCACCACTTCACTCCACCGCCCCTATTTAGTAGCGCGAGTGGGCGAGTGGGCGAGTGGGCGAGTAGGGCTTTTTCTTGCCGAGAAAGCAATTACTCAACTTCTTCATTTCAGTTTTCTGCTTCCCTTCTTAGGGTTTACCATTGTTAAATCACCATCAACAATTTTTGAGCTTCGATTGCAGTGGTTCTTCGTGCTGTTCAGATTTCACCGATGGCTAAAATCACTGCGCGAGTGGAAGCGGGTGAAAGGCGCGTGACGCAACTCCATCAATTGTACCAGGAGCTCAAGGCAGATCAAATGGAACTGCGGGAAACCGTGAAGAAGGAAACGACAGAGATTAGCCAGAAACTGGAGCAACTTTTCCGAAAATTGGAAGTTACCGGACGGAGTAACCCTAGCAGCAGCCACGGCGGTGAGGGTTCATCGCACATAGGTAATTCGAATTCAATTCCGATTAAAAAACCTATTGAAATTTCCCCTAATTCGAACGATCGCGGAATTGTGCTAGAATTCCCTAGGTTTAATGGTCAGAATCCGGTGAATTGGATCGGAAAATGCCGTCGGTACTTTTCGTTGTGCCGTACGCCTGAAAATGAGAAGGTTCTTCTGGCTTCCATGCACATGGAAGGTAAAGCTGAGTTTTTTTACCTGAACTATGTTGAGGGAAGGGGTGATATTGGATGGAAGAGGTTTTCGGAGATGGTGGCGGAGCGCTTTGGCGATCGGCGTGGCGATAACGTATATACCGCTTTGCATAAGCTGCGGCAGGAAGGTTCCGTGGAGATGTATGTCGAGCAGTTCGAAGAGTTGAAAGCTTGTTTGCCGCTGCGGGAGAGTACAACGCCCATGGACGAGTACTATTTCGTCGAGTGTTTCTTGAACGGTTTGAAGGAAGAGATCAGGGATGTACTTCAAAGTTTCCATCCCACTACACTCACTTGGGCTATCAATCTCGCCAAATATCGAGAAAATGATTTAGAACAGATGGTCGATGAATCGGATGAGGAAGAGGAAGTGGAAGTTCAAGAAAGATCTGATGAGCTGGCAGAGGATTCCAAGGCATTGTTCTTGTCCGTGGCTGTAGCCGACGAGCCAAACCCCAATGTAGTGAAGGGGTGGGTGAAAAAGGACTCGATTTCCATCATATTGGTCTCGGCTAGCACTCACAGTTTTCTGGACCCACAGGCTGCAAAAAGACTCGGGTGTAAAATCGAGCAGACGAAACGCTTTCCGGTCACATTTGCAGGTGGGAGTGAGATCGAGTGCAACTCTAAATGTTCGGGGTTCGAGTGGGAGATGGGGTTCGCCAAATTTAGTGCTGACGTGAGAATTATGAAACTCGACTGGTACGGGTGTGACTTGGTGCTTGGAGTGGATTTCTTTAAGAGAATGGCATCGATCGTATTCTGGAAGCGAACTATTACTATTACACATGAAGGAAAAGAAGTTGTGCTGAAAACAAGAGGATCAAGGTAAGCAGGATTGTTGCTTAGTAGTTGACCCGGTAACTATTAGGATTTCGGTTATGTTATAAGTAGGAGTATTATCGATCAGTAGTTGACTAGGGTAACTGTTTGGTTAGTTTGTTTCGTTTCCTCAAAATTTCGTTCTCCTTTTTCGGGCGTAAATCAGTTGTAAGGAGCGTCTACGAACTGAGAACTTTGCAGTAGTATGAATGTGTTATCTGCATTGTAATGAACTGATTCGGTATATTTGCATTGCCTTTCAACCCGATTATCATACTTTCTGATAGAGGAGAGGCGCATATTGAAGCCCTCGGTTTATATTTATTTGCTTATAGTTATTAGTGTTGATGTTACTTGCCTGTAGAGCCACCATGCTCAGGCCATTAAATCAATCTGCAGAAATTATCAAGAAAGGTCCATATAGTGAGATCGGATCGATCGATATCGATATTAATTTGCCTATAGACAACCTAAGTCGTCGGCTTTACATGGAGATCGTATTCGACATATGCATCTACGCTATCGATAAAAATAATCAAATTTATGTTTAAGGTTGTTACGAGCTCGAGCCTACTCGGACAATTTTGGTGATTTTCGAGTTCATTAAAATTTTATTTTTGAGCTCGAGCTCGTGATATTATAACCAATTAATAATGAGCTAAAACTTTTGTCGATAAACGCAGGTCTAGAACTCGTACCCAAACATACGCCATGATATTATATATTTTCCGAATGGTTTAATAAAAAAAAAAATGTTCCAACAAGGCTTTTAAAATAATAATTTCATATATTTAATTATTGATGGGCCCAAAGCATAATCCAACAATTTTGTTAAGGCCCCACCACTTAGCTCCAAACCCTAATAAATAGCGCGAGTAGTTTTCATTCTTAGGGTTTGATATTGTTAAATCATCATCATCATTTTTTGTTTGATCAGAGCAATTTCTCAGCTTCGATTTTTGGCCTCAGAGAGAAGTTAGTTCAGATTTAATCGATGTCAAAAATCAATGCGCGAGTGGAAGAGGTGGAAAAGCTCCATCAATGGTTACAGGAGCTTAATGCAGATTGCATGGAACTACGGGCGTTAGAGATTAGCCAGAAACAGGAGCAAATTCTCCGAAAATCGGAAGTTATTGAAAGGAGTAACCCTAGCAGCAGCCATGGCCGCGAGGGTTCAGCGCGCGTGGGCACTATATCTGTAAAGAACGAACCAGGTAATTCGAATTCAATTCCGATTCAAAAACCTACTGAAATTTCCCCCAATTTGAGCGAACGGCGACGTATGATGGAATTCCCTAGGTTTAATGGTGAGAACCCTAGGGGTTGGTTCAGAAAATGCCGTAATTACTTTCTGTTTTGCCCTACTCCTGAAAATGAGAAGGTTCTTCTAGCTTCCATGTACATGGAAGGTAAGGCCGAGTTTTTCTATATGGATTATGTTGAGGGGAAGGAGCGTATTGGATGGGAGAGGTTTTCGGAGATGGTGTTCGAGCGCTTTGGCGATCCGCGTGGTGAAAATGTCGATGTAGCGTTTCATAACCTACAGCAGGAAGGTTCTGTTGAAACGTATATCGAGAAATTTGAGAAGTTGAAAGCTTTTATTATGTTGCAGGAGAATACGAAAATTGCAGAGGAGTATTTCGTAGCGTGTTTCTTGAACGGTTTGAAGGAAGAGGTGAGGGATGTTGTTCAGAATATCCGTCCGGCTACACTTACTCGGGCTATCCAATTAGCCAAACTGCAAGAAATGGGGGTAGCACATTTGGGCAAGAAGTTGTTTGAGGAAGCAATGAACCAGAGGAAGAAAGAAGGGCTGTGTTTCAACTGTGACGAGCCCGATAGTTACGGGCACGAGTGCAAGAAATCGTACGAGGAAGAGGAAGTTGAAGAAAGTTCTAGTGAGCCGGAAGAAGATTCCAGAGCATCATTCCATTCTGTTGCTGTTGCCAACACTCCAAACCCCAGTTTGATAAAAGGGTGGGTGAAAAAGGACTCGATTTCCCTCATATTGGTTTCGGGCAGCTCACACAGTTTTCTGGACCCACAGGCTGCAAAAAGACTAGGGTGTAAACTCGAGCAGACCAAACCCTTTTCCGTCTCGTTTTTATTTGGGAGTGGGACGGAGTGCAACTCTAAATGTTCTGGATTCAAGTGGAAGATGGGAGGCGTCGAATTTTCTGCCGACGTGAGAATTATGGAACTCGGATGGTATGGTTGCGACTTGGTGCTCGGAAGGGATTTCCTTAATGGAGTGGGAGACATCGAAATTAGGGATGATAGTATTACTATTACACCTCAAGGAAAAAAAGTTGTGCTGCCGACGGGATCCGGTTAGTAGTTGATTACGGACGGTTTACTTACTACGAGTAGGGGAGTATTATCGGTGACGAAAAAACAGAGTTGATGTCTATAAGCTTTTTTTCTGGTTAGTTTTCGTTTTTGCAATTTCACTTCCGTTTTTTATTTCCGTGTGCAAAATCGATTGTAATGATTCAGACCTTAAATCGATTGTAACGAGTGGATATCTTGGAACTTACATCTTTGAAGTAGCATGAATCTATTAATCTGCATTGAAATCAACTGTTTTTATATTACCTGATAAAGTCGAGTCGACGACCATGTATCGTATCGTATCGAATATAAACCTGCAATGTGGAAGGTGGTATAACTTGCGGGGGCTTGCAGAACCATTGGTCTCTATTTTTTTCGAAAAGGATTAACCGATTATTAATTGGTTTATTTATTTATTTATTATGGAAAATCGACTTTGATATGGTTTAATATATGAATATGGAAAATCTGGTTTCAACAAAATTTAGGAAAAATTGTGTGTACTATAGTGCACGATTTTTTGTGATTTTGCTCGACTGTTCAAAATTTGTGAAACAATTTTTAAATAAATATTTTTTTCTTTACTATTTATGGATAATCTTCTATACTATATATTTGAGTGTTATAAAATACTAAAAGAAATTCTTAAAAATTTCGGTGACTTTTAGTAAAAATTGTGTGTTATATAGTATGCGATTTTTGGTATTTTGTTTGAGTACAAAATATTGAAACAATTTCTGGGTGAACTGTTTCTTCACTATTTATGAATAAAATTCTTCGATACTATATATTTCCGTGTTAAAAACTATTAAAAAATGATTTGATCTTTTTCGACCATTTTTAGAAAATAAAAAAATAATAAAACATGTACTATTTATTATACAGTGTACGATATTTTATGATTTTGCTTCACTATTCAAAACTTAGTGAAAATAATTTTTAGATAAACAATTTATTAACTACTTAAATGTTAAGTAATATACAATTTTTGTGATTTTGTATACTGTAATTTAAATGTTAAATAATATTAAAAAAATAATTGAGCATTTCAACATTTTTTTGCAAAAAACGTGTGCTCTAATGTACGATTTTTGTGATTTTGTTTCACGTTTCAAAATTTAGTGAAACAATTTTTAGATAAAAAAAAAATAAAAATAAAAAGGGTAAATTATGACCACCCCCTAAGTAAGGTCAGATTACGAAAAAAAATTCTTCATGTTTGTGTATTTACAATCAACCCGATCAACTATGAATCTTCTTACACATCCAACCTTGTGATGTTAAATTTAGTGGAATCTTCTAGATAATATGAAATATTCTCAAGTTGGTACCCTTTTATCTTATTCGAGTTCCACATTTTGAAACAAGATTATCAAAAGATCGACGTGTAAGAAAATTCATAGTTTAGGGGCTGATTGTAATTACCCAAATAAGAGGGGTTATTTTGTAAATTGAAAAAGAAAAATCCCCTCATTTCAAATAGAGTGAGCTCAGCTCAGCAAGCGGCGAAAAAACGCTTCAGCTGTATTGTGTACTATATAAACAAGCGGCTTTTAAGATTATGGAAAAGCAGATTGGATGAATAAAGCTTTTTTTCTCTTTCTCTTCATTTTCCCCAATTTCAAGTACGAATTTAGGGCAGAGAGAGTTACAGACCTAGAATTAATCTTCGATTTTAGCTATCTCGCGGTAATTGGCCTCGATCAGAGCAATCGATGGCTATGGACAATGCGCGGCTGGAAGCGGTTGAACAGCAGTTATCATATCTCTGGCAATGGCACCGGGAGCTGATATCCGAGCTTCGTGCAGACCAGTTGGAGCTTCGAGCCACCGTGAAGAAGGAAATTTCAGAGATTAGCCAAAAACTCGACCAACTTCTCAGAAATTTTGAAGAAATTATGCAATTCGCAGGTAACCCTAACTCCATTCCAATTCGAAACCCTAATTGGAACGATCGAGGATCCGTGCTAGAAGAATTCCCTAGGTTTAGTGGCGAGAATCCGAGGAGCTGGATCAGAAAATGCCGTAAATACTTTCTGTTGAACCCTATGGCTGAATCCGACAAGGTTTTTCTAGCTTCCATGCATATGGTAGACGAGGCTGAATTTTTTCATATGGACTATGTTGAGGGGAAGGAGCATATTGGATGGGAAAGGTTTTCGGAGATGGTGCTGGAGCGCTTCGGCGATCCGTGTGGTGAAAATATAGTTGGAGCCTTTAATAAGCTGCAGCAAGACGGTTCGTTGGAGATGTATGTTGACAAGTTCGAAGAGTTGAAAGCTTTTATGGTGCAGATGAATACTTCTCTCACGGAGGAGTACTTTGTCAACAGTTTTTTGAGCGGTTTGAAGGAAGAGATGAGGGATGTAGTTCGAATTCTCCGTCCCACTACACTGACTCGGGCTATCCAATTAGCCAGACTAAGAGAAATCTCATTACGAAAACAGGTCAAAGGGAGTGAAACTGAAACCAGGGAGCCTTTTATCAAGAAATTGTCTCGGGAAGAAACGAACCAGAGGAGGAAAAAAGGGCTGTGTTTTTACTGTGACGAACCTGATTTTAATGGGCATATGTGCAAGAAGTTGTTTGTCGTTAAGGCTAAGGAAAATGATGAAGTGGAAGTTCAAGAAAGATCCAATACCAAAGTATTTTTACATGCATTGGCTAACCGCAACAGTCCAAACACCATTAAACTGAAAGGCATGGTGAAAGAGGACTCGATTTCGATAATGGTGAGCACAAGGAGTAGTCACAGCTTTTTGGACCCATGGGCTGCAACAAGATTCGGGTATGTAATCGAGTACACTGATCCTTTGTTGGTCACAGTGGTAGACGGGCATGAGATTGAGTGCAATTCTAAATGTTCGGGATTCGAATGGAAGATGAGGGGCATCAGATTTACTGCTGATATGAGCATTCTAAAACTAGGAGGGTGCGATGTGGTGCTTGGAGTCGACTTCTTGAGAAGAATGGGCAAAGTCAATTTTGACTTTGATCGGCCAAGTATTACTATTATACATGAAGGAAGAAAAGTGTTGATGCATGGAAAACCCGGGGAACGATACCGATTGGTTGTTGACTAGGGATGGTAGGATTTCAGTCGCAGCACTTACTATAAATACGAGTATTAAGAATGAGCAACAGGGAATTAGATGTATAAAGCTTTTCTGTTTAGTTGGTTTCACTTCCTCTTTTTTCGGGTGTGAATCAATTGTAAGGATCCGGACCTTGAATTTTAGCTTTGTTTTAGCTATTACACTTGTAATCAGAACTCGATCGTAATAGAGGCTACAGAAAATCTTCATACATCCTAATAGTCTCTCATTACATCGAACTTCATCGCTCGTTTTCTTTAAACGGTTTATATCTTTATTTGGCAATTTATGACATCACTAATTAGGAAGATGGAGGGAGAATCCCTTGAAGGAAAGACGAAATTACGGAGAGTGCCCTTTGAGGCTGATAGCTAGGAACAAGATGCCCAGCTCCTCTCACTGTCACAAATGTCAATCCTTTGTATCCTTCTACATATCCTCCAACCTGTCATTCCAATTCATCCATGTCATTAAATTCTTATTTTTATTGAATAAAAATAAAAGATAAAAAGCTCATTTACACCTCATTGTCAAGGTACCACGGGCGCCAAGGAGTCTCGACTGGGAGCTTGAGGCTGTTAATCGCGTATCTTGTGGATGTTACCGGAACATTTATATCTATATCTCCACTGCAGCAAACAAGAATGTAATATAAAGATCCTATGTTGTCGATTTCCTTCTAGTTTATGTAGTAATTACACGACGATAAAGTGTTTCATCGTAATACGTGCCTGTAGAGCCACACACTAATGTCACTAGCCATGAGACTCTCGATCATCGGCAAAACATTGATTTGTGCGTCTGTCCAGTTTAAAAATCTGCAGATGTTTAAAAAAAAAATCAATATTGATATATCTATTTTTTTATTTTTTCTTTCGAAAAAATATTTGTTAACTTACTTGCAGCCAACCCAAGTTGTGGGCTTTACATGGAGAGCATTTTGAACTCGAGCAGTATTCAAGTAGTATTCGACATACGTATCCGAGCATGGATCGAAGAAGTTAACCTGAGATCGCATCAGTGAATAATATATATAAAAAATGGAAACTAATTAAAGTTTGTGGATTTTGTAATGATGGTAAAAAAGAAATTAAAAGGGCTTACAGAACCAGTGGAGCTATTTTTAAGCACAGGGTTTAGGCAGATTGGTGCATAAATATTGTTTATTTCGATATTTCCCATCTCCCCGTTAGATTTGTCCACAAAAACCCGGCATTCATCAGATACCGAGTCGTTTTCGAAATTGCAAAATTTAAGGATGTCCTCGTGGGTCCCATCCGAGTTCAACGCGTGTGTCCAAACATGATCGAAGTACCCTGGTAACATTATCGTGTCGTCTATCCATGCATTCCCTATCTGAAAGAATTCCACTAATTACCAAAACGCCATCATCGATAATAATAATGCAATAGAGTTAATTAGAAAAAAAAAAGAAGAAAAAAAACCCGTAAATAAGATTGAATAACATACAGCAACTCCCTTGAGATTAATAACAGTTTGATTAGTGTTGTTTTTCTTGTTGTTGAGTAATATGGTGTTTGCTAGCTGAGGCGCATAATGGCCGGCGTAACTCTCCCCCGTAATAAAGAAATCCCGTGTTTTGTACTGTGGGAATCTTTCGAGCCAGTTGACTAAAAAAGTATATGCATCAACGGCGGTTCTTGAATCGCCATTGCTGCCGTAATCGGCAGATGTGTTCGAGTAAGAGAAACCAACTCCAACAGGTGACTCCAAGAATATCACATTTGCCACTATATCATACAAAATCAGTTATTTTATTATTTTTTGTTTAAAGTTTGAAGTTCGATATTCTCACCGTTGTTCCATGCATAATTATTTCGAAAGAGCGTTTTGCCGTCACTGTTGACTCTGAAAGGACCCAATTCCTCCATTGCTCCGAACCCGAAAGACGAACATCCAGGACCTATCAATTGTAATATTCGAAAAATAATTAAATCTTTAAAATAAATAATAGGTTTTGGAGGGGGGTCATGGCCCCCACGACCCTATGTTGCCTCCGTCACTGGTTGAGAAATATCATTCTAATGCAATGATTAAAATGGAAAGATTTCGAAGGTTTTACCTCCATTGAGCCATAAAACGAGAGGATTAGTGGAAGAATTAGTTGGAGACTCAACGAAATAATAGAAGAGTGCTCTTCCGGCAGTTGGATCGACTGTTACGTAACCTGAATACTGATCAAAGTCCACATCATCGGGCTGACCTGGCAACTCTACGATTCTATCGGCTTGCATTAGTCCATCCTGCGGTGCAAGGAGTGCAGGAGAATATTCTCTTTCTTCATGAAGTTGTGACCATGTATCTGAATCGGAAATTCGACTGTTCGATCTTCTGGATTTTAGAAGCTTGTGTAAATAATTTGCCTGATTGGCATTACAGAGTGTTGAGAAGAGGAGCAGCAAATTCAACAGCTGTACAAGTTTATTATGCATTGTTTACACCTTAGTGTGTGTAGATGGGGTGTTAACTACAGATAATTTGTATCTATATATGCAAGAATATGGCTTGTCTTTTCTGGCATTGGTGATGTAAACTGCCAACTCATTGGTCCTGTTATTTACATTAGGAAACTCCGTCGATGTTCGCAATTAGATAGTAGTGTAAATTAACTTAAATCAGCTCGACAAATTCGACTCGTGGTTTACACCAAACCTGACTCGAGCTTGTTACACCCCGTACAATACTTGACAAAAAACAAAATCGAAAAAAGGCCTTTATATCATTCACGAATATCTTAAGAGAGAAATAAGACACTATAAGTGACAGTACAAGGGGAAAATAACAACACCAGAGAGCAAAAACAATGCTGATCACACAACAAAGAATTAATAGAGAAGAAAATATTCCAACCCGACCCGAAATACATAAAATCTATCTCAACAATTATCTATAGTTAACAAATTCCGATACTCTCTTCATACAACCAACCTCCTCCACATCATAACAATACCTAAACAGATGCATCATTACTGCCAATATTGCTGGTTGCGATTTCCAGGCACCACATTCGAGCCACGTCCACCTCCAGAAGAGCCATATGGTGGACCGCCGTGCGGGTAATTAGGTCCACCTCGTGGACCCGCGCCCGGCAGGCCACTCGAACCATAGGGTGGGGCCCGCCCCTGCGGTGGATAAGGTGCACTGCCATAGCCCGCAGCAGCACCTTGACCGCGGTTAGGGTTATTGTAGCTTCCGGAAGGATTTCCTGCTGCAGCAGCAGCAGCTGGATATCTTCCAGGCCCACCAGAAGGCCCGCGTGGCTTGTTACCGTAGTGATGGCCTGCGGCTTGAGGCTGAGCTGGTGCATTCGGGCCGGGCCGCATCTGCTGAGCTGGCGGAACGCGAGAGTGCTGCTGCTGCTGGTGTTGTAGCTTCTGCCTTTTTGCGTTTTCGTCTAGCTGCCTCTGCTGCTGCCTTTTTTTCTTTGTCTGGAATTCGTGTGAAGCTTCGTATTTGGGCAAACTGACATTTTTTTGGTTTCGAACAAATATGAGGCAAGAATTATAGAGCCAGCAAAAAACAAAAATAAAATAAAAAGACCTTTTGGGGTCGCAAGGTAATGGATCTGTCCAGAAATACTCGGCATCAAGAGCATCCTTTGCTGCTATTCTCTTCATTGATAAGAAATTAGAGGGAAAGACCAAACTGTTAGAAAAGGATAAAAGCAAATGAATATATTTCAAAAATAATAATAAGAAAAGATAAAGAGAGTTACGTGAGATGGATCAAGAATCAGCATCCGATCAAGTAAATCCAGGGCATGGCGGTCGAAGCTAAAAAAAACATAATTCACGTCAGTTTCACTTTCACTGAGGCAGAACTTCAAAAAATAATGAATAACCATCGCATGCGATTCCTTACTGTCGGAAATGCTCTCTAAGACGCCTTTTCACCATCCTTGTCGGCTTAAAATTATTATACCAAGGAAGCTTCGAAACTCCAGGCCAAATCTCCTCAGTAGCACTCCCACATATGTCGTAAATTTTATGTATTTGTTCCGCCTGCAAAAGAAAACAACAAAAATACAAAGCATAATGTTTAGAAACACATAAAATAAAGATGAAACAATATTACATGCGCAGTAGATAAAATAAAGAAATACCTCATCTTTCCCGGGAAATATCGGTTTCCCATTAAGAAGTTCGGCAAAGATGCAACCAACCGACCACATATCAACAGCAGGGCCATACTTGGTGGTTCCGAGCAGCAACTCGGGCGGTCTACAAGATAAAATCATAGCAGGTTACAAACCGCATGAGGTCATATATTTAAATTTAATTAGGCTTATATCATATTTGGTGTTAGATGCCGCATAAATATTACCTATACCACAGAGTAATCACACGATTTGTAAGATTAGCATTGTGGTCACTTGAAAACGACCGAGCGAGACCGAAATCCGCAAGCTTCAGGTTTCCTTCATTGTCTATCAGAAGATTAGAACCTGCCACACGAGATGCAAAAACCTAATTTTAGCCTCGTAAGTTGAAGATACCATAAGTAAAAAATACTTGTTTTAAATGCAGACCTTTAATATCACGGTGAAGCACTTGATTTACATGACAGTAGTGAAGCCCTGTCAAAAGCTGTCTCATGTAGCACTAAAAAGAAGAGAGAGAACGTGAAATCATTCATCTGATTGTCACTCTTCTTTTCCATCACAAGCATCTGATAAGTTAGCCAATAACTAAATATTTCTTCGATATTTTCACACTCGTTGCAATACCTTAATTTGTGGAACAGAGAATCTCATTCCAGGACGATCGGCGAGTCCGGTCAAATCATGGTCCATGTATTCGAAGACCATGTAAATTCCACCTCTGTACTTGTTACCATCTGAGAGACGCAAACAGAATGGATATACGTAAGCTGTATAAGCGTTAAACGATGTTGAAAAACCTTATTGAAGAGTTCTCATCAGATTGATCGAGTAAGGTTAACGGATACAGGTTATGCTATTTATTATTATGTGTAATCCATAACAAGAATTGCAAGTCATTCACAAAAAAACAAATAGTACACATTTACCTGGTGCCGGTTGCTCATCCTTCTCAGGACCTGGATAAAATTTACGAAATTCAGATGTAGGAATCTAAACACAATAAATAGGATAAAACTATGCATAAAACTAAACAAAGATCATGAGATTACCAGTAGATGTGACGATCTCTTTCAACTTGATTACATTTTCATGGTGAAGCTTCTTTAATATTTTGATTTCCCTGATTGCCGTTATGGGAAACTGCAGGCACATAAATGGATTAAAACCAATAGCCATATGTAGAGATCTGTCTGTTGAAGCAACGACCATTAGTTTACAGTACACTAGTGTCAGTAACAATCGAAAGACCAAGTGCAGAAAAAGGATACCCCTTCTCTTTCATTGTCCATTCGTATCTTCTTCAAAGCAACAATTTCCCCCGTATCGATTTCTTTTGCCATGTAAACTTGTCTGCAATTACAAAATTCCCCACTAAGGTGAAAAGGAAAACGAAAACTTAATCACGTAGTTTAAATACACTTCATTCGCATTACACTCCGTCGAATCACGCAAACATGAAACAAGTAGTCCACTTAATATGTCAAACAATTAAATTTCACAACAAATTTTTAACAAGACCAAAATTTGCATACAAACTCTGTATTCAAAACCATAAGAAAGATGAGTCCTTCAGTTCAGAAACCAATGTTTCAATTCATCACAAGAGTTTCATATTTAGAGTAAATCTCGTGGGACACGCTGCTGCACGAATTGAAAAGAATTTTTTTAAGAAAATAAAAAAAATACCCATAAGTTCCTTCACCAATCTGCTCCAATTTCTCGAAGCAATCGACGCTTCGAGAACCCCATGCCGGCAATTCGCTAACATTTAGCTGCTCAGGCGCGGCTATCGCCATTATCTCTCTCTCCCAGCGAAAGAATCGATTTCTCAATTACTTGAAAATAAAAAGATCGATTAGGGTTTAAATTACGATCGATAGATGTGATCAACTCGTAATTTGATCTGGGTAAACTCCAAACTGTTGCGATAAGGAACAGGAAAAAAAACAGAACTAGAATTAGGGCTCGACAGTGAGTTTTAGGGACGAAGGAAAAAAGGAAGGGTTTATTTGATGTCGATTTTTTTTCTAGCTCTGTGTTTTTCGGAGGCGGCGGAAAAAAAGACACGTGATAGGAGATAATCAAAGAGAACTGAGGTGGTAGTGATGCAGTGGTTTCCGGCGGTGGCGCAACTGCGGAAGGCGGTGGTTTGTTGGCCGAGAAAGGGGTTCAATTGAACAAGGAAAGAATATCTTTTAACAGCCAATAACAAGCTGAGAAAACAAGAAACGGAAAAGATTTATGTTTATAATTCATCTGTTAAAAGAAATTACGATTTTTACAATAAATTATTAATTGTATAATTTTTTATTTTACTTTTTATTACTATTAATTAATTAACTGAAAAACAATTAAACAAAAAAATATTTTAGTAATTCCATATATTTTTTGCTGCAACCGCAACAACCAAACATAAAATAGGACGGATGAAGTACTATTTTTTACGATTCAAAAATATTTCTAAAAAGAAATAGTATTTCCATTAAATGATAATAAATAATATATACTTTAGGAGTTAAATGCAAAAACACCCCCTGTGATTTTCCTAAACACCAAAAAACCCCCTAGGTAAAATTAAGTGACTAAAACCCCCATGTGATTAGTAGTCAAAGTCATAAACCCCCCTCTATCTCATTCGTGTCATGCACGCGCTACCAACGCGACTGCTGGTGCGATTTTTTGTGTGATAAGACGCAAGTGCCCCTCTAAATCTCTCTTAGTTTTTCTTGTACCATTTTAAACAAAAACAAAAGAAAAAAATCACTAAATATAAATGAATTAATTAAAAAAGAACAAAACACAATTCGACGAGGGTACCGGGGAGCTGCCATGGCTCGCAAACATGGAGGTCGATTTCGACGAGGGTACCTCGGAGAATTTGTTCATTACAAACTTTCTTGTAAAGATAATGGCAAACCAATTCTTCGTCGCTCGGATAAAACCTGAAACCCGGTGGCACCGTCTCTCCTATATCTCTCAATCCCATTTTTTTCGTTTTTTCCCGAAAATTATATATATTTTGTGCAGAAGAAGAATACTGATTTTTGATTTTTTTTTCGTTTTCAAGAACTATGGGATTTATATATATATATGTGATCTTCTTTTCTGGTTTTTTTTTTCTTTTATGGGGGTGGGGGTGTAATCTTTAAGGTTGATTGTAGGAGAAAGTAGTGTGCTTTTATAAAAAAGATTTTTATAAAAAAGAAAAATCTTTTCTGATTTTTATAAAAAAGAAAAATATTTTTTCCTCCCGTCAAACTGAAGACCAACCCCAAATTCATCTTCTTCGCCCATTTTGTTGTCCGACATCGCCATCTTCTTCGACGTTGCCCAGCGACCGCCGCCGCCGCTGCCGCCGCCGCTGCGAGTTCAGATCTTCTCTAAAGTCGTCGCCAATCGAGGTCCGGCGAGCTACACTTCGCCGAATTCTCTGACGAATAGCAAAGCCCATCGCAAAATCCTCTCAAACACAGCTGCCGTTGCAGCCGCCGTTGCAGCCGCCGTTGAGCTATGAGCTGAGAAATTGAAATTGAAGTGTGCGTTGTTTTTTTTTTTTCAATTGGAGAAGAGGGCTAAATTGAAAGTGCTAGGGACTGAATTGAAAATTTTGAAAATTTCATTTGAGTCATTAAATTCTAGAGGTTGGATATATTTATTTGAAGGGCATTTTTGTCTTTTCGCGAGCGGTCAACAGACAAAAACAAAAAAGGGTCGAGTGTGCTTCATTGAACACTTGTTAGGGGGGTTTTGGTGACTTATTTTTTCCCAGGGGGTTTTTTGGCCTTTAGAAATTACACAGGGGGGGTTTTTGCATTTAACTCAATACTTTAGTGTAAGCATGCGAGTCCATCCACCCTCAATTAAAATTGATTCCATTAAATGATGGGGCAACTATTTCAAATACTAACTTTTGCTTACTTGAATACTATCAAGTTTAAAACCAAAATTGAGTACATATTTATCAGTTTTTTCTTACTTTAATACCAAAATAAAAAGAAAATTACAAAAACACCCTTTCATACAAAATATCAATTATATCAAATTTTATTAGAAATTACCTAATCAAAAACCAAATAAAAAAAAAGAAAAAAATCCCTTTGTTGTAAAAAAAAAACCTCCAACCCTCGCCGCCGCCGCCGCCGCTTCTTCGTCCATTGTTATCAACCCGCCGCCGCTTCTTCATTCCAGTTTCATTCATCCAAGTAATAATTTTTTTCGAATTTTTTTTCTTTAATATTTACTTAGGATTTGATTGTTTGATATGGGTAATTAGGATTTGATTGTTTTAGGTAGAAATGATCGTTAATTAGTAATGGGTGCATCTAATTTCAGTCGATTTGAGCATTGATTTGAGATTCCTGGGTTGGTTCTTAGTTCACAATTTTCGACCTGTATATGTCGATTTTTTATGAATTTTCGACAGCTTGATGTCGAAAATTCATCAAAAATCGACATATAGTTGTCGAAAAATGTGAAAGCTTGAAATGGGATTTTTGATAATTCGACAGATAGCTGTCGAAATTTGGATGAGTTTTCGACAGCTAGCTGTCGAATATTCAACCAATTTTCGACAGCTACCTGTCAAATTAGATCTGTGTAAATTTTTTTTTTTTTTTTTTCGACACTTAAGTGTCGAAAATATGGGTAATTTTCGACACTTAGGTGTCGAAAATTGAATCAAAATTCGACACTTAGGTGTCGAAACTTAATAAAATATGAATTGTTATATTTTCGACACATACATGTCGAAAAATAAGGGTATTTTCAACCTGTATGTGTCGAAAATACATGGCGAGTTTAAAAAAAAAAAAAAAATTCAAAATCGATGTTTTAGCTCAAAAAATACATGAATACATACTTGAATGGGTTCTTCTTGCTCGTAAACTACCATTCTATTGTCATTTGACGCCATTTTGCAAGTTGTGTAAGGTTTTGATTTCTTTTGTTTTGAGGTTTTTTAGGAGGGTTTTTGGGGAGGGAGAAGAAGGAGGTGGAGGAGGTGAGGGGTTTGTGAGTAAGGAGGGAAATGTTTTTTTTAGGTTTTTGATTATTTGGTATTTAAGAAAGAAAAATAGTATTTGTAATGTTTTTTTGGTTTTAATTTTCATTAAGGGCATTAAAGTAATTTATAATTAATTATTTATTTTTTATTTTTTGGTATTCAAGTAAGCAAAAGTTAGTATTTGAAATAGTGACCCCCTTAAATGATACCTCTAATTTATTTAATCCACCTTACTTTGATTAATATAAAAAAAGTAAGTTCTAATTTATTTTTTTTTCTTTTTTTTCTTTACTTATTTCTGATTTTATCCTATTTTATGCAAAAATAAGTTTTAAATTTTTCTCGACCCGAAACACCCGAAAAGTGAAGGGGAAATTACCAAAACCCCCCTAAATTTAGGCTAAATAAAGAAAAAATGCCTCCACTTATCCGTAATTACCAAAAAAACCCTTATTAATATCTTTAATTACGAGTATGTACTTACTTAACACAAAACACACAATACATACAGCCCACTAAAAAGAGTGCAGCCTATTTTAAAGCCCATGAAGTAATGCATTATCATGTGCTGACGTCATCAATGCCAGAAAACAAAAATTAAAAAAGGCGAAGCATCTCAGCATCTAAATAAATAAACTTAAAATTACTTGACAGCCGATTTCTCTCAGTCCAGATTCGTGGCTGTCTACTCTCTCTTTCATCTGGTTTTAGGTCAGATTCTATTTCTCTTCAATGGCGCTCGATGTTTTATTTTTATTTTTATTTTTTTAATTCAATTTTATTTGAGAATTAGTAGTTTCTTCTTATTATTGCCCATTCAGTTGTGCGTTTATTTAGTTTATTCAGTTGACAGTTTCAGCGTTTTCTTTTATGGTTTACTATATCTCTGGATTAAAATTGGAATTTAATCACTCTTTTTCTACTCTTCAGACAGTCAAAGAATTAACCTTTTTCCTGTTTTGGAATTAATCATTTTCTGTGTGTGTGTGTGTGTGGTTTTTTTTAATTTGATTTTTTTTTATAAGTTTAATGTTCAATCTTGATATTCTGTTCTGATTTGACGTGGGCTATGCAAACTTGCCAAGTACAGATTAGAAAGATGAATCTGTTACCAATTTACCCTTTGTCTGAAGTTTCAGTTGTTTTTTTTCAGTTCAGGTAGTAATATTTGACTTAATAGGGAAATCTATTGCAGCAATATTCGAACAAAGGCCCGATTTGTTATTTTGAATAATGGCGGGGGAGGAGGAGGAGGAGAGGAATCTAATCGAGATACTGGAGGAGAATATTCCGATCGACATCACCAAATACATCAACTACGTCCAGTCACCGCACTGCGGAGCAATATCAACCTTCGCAGGCACTACACGCGACACCTTCGAGGGCAAAACCGTCTTAGAACTAAGATACGAAGCCTATGTTCCAATGGCAATACGCTGCATCAAGTCGATCTGCACTTCCGCCAGGTCATCATGGAACCTCAGCTCGATTGCTGTGGCCCACCGACTGGGCCCCGTTCCTGTCGGAGAAATTAGCGTCTTTATTGCAACCTCGTCGGTTCATAGGGAAGATTCCTTGGACGCCTGCAAATTCATGATCGATGAGGTCAAGGCATCGGTTCCGATTTGGAAGAAGGAAGTTTATAGCAATGGAGAAGTTTGGAAAGAGAATTCCGAGTTTCTTGAGAGGAAAGACGAACTTGTCGTTCCTAGCCATGGCCGAAAATGCTGCGGTAAAAAAGTTATGGTAATAGAATAAATTTATTCCCGATGTTTTATTTACTTAACGGAAAGATAATCGTGTATTGTTTTGAATTGAAATCTCTGCCGGCAAACGAATAAAAGAAACTGTTATTACTTTAAAAAACTTATGTCGAACAACAAAATGATGTTGTCGCTCTTCTTACATAATGATTTTACTAGGAGTAAATCGACACGGAAAAAAACGAACAAATCGAAACAGATCATGACAGCAAAATGATCACAAACTGAAAACAACTACTACTTCTATTCTAACAACTTCAGAGAAGAGTTTTAGCAGGTGGAAACAGAGAGACGGCGTTTCTTTCGGGATTCGAGTATTTTCTGCAGACTGCCTTCAGCTTGTTTTCTGCTGCTCCTGAGTGGAAACTAACCAACAGCTTCGAACACTCCCTGAGATAATTAGTTCGTAAAAAAGTTCGATTAATATAATATATATATATTTTTTTGTTGGCATAAATCAAGAAACAGGGGAGATTGTAATAATATTTACTTACATCAATTGATCCTCGGAATATCCAGTATGATGCTCAAGAGTATCTGTCCAAGAAGGGCTCCTACGAAGAGTGCAACGAGCAGCGTATACTGCAGAAGCTGAAAGCTTCGAAGGGCTGTAGTTTACGATTGTCGAGTAATTTGTCAAACCAAGCTCAGCAAAGAAATACGTCATGTTTTCCATCTGCGTCGACAAAACAAATTGACATTTGAAGTCGAAGTCAGCTTACTTGAAACTGATTTTTTTTTTTTTAATAATATGTAATAAAGATGTAAATTACCTCCTTATCAGCTGGAACAGAAGCTTTAATGTATCGAATCAGAAATACGTAAGGAGTCGGAACTGTTAAGTACCACTCGAGCTTTCCAAGAATTGCTTTCTCCATGAGAAGCACTTGCTCTCTTACATAAGCATTGTCTGATATGGCGATGAAATCGCTGACCTGGTTTATATAATAAAAGGAATCAAAAGTATCGAATTAGTTGTAAATTTTACTGAATAATTTAAAAAAAAAATAAAGAATTTCGACTACCTCCGGTGCCCAAATCTCCTCGTACTTGCAAGCAATGAGCATTGAGCTAAGCCCGACCAACTGAAGTTCCCTTCTCGGAACAGTCTTGATCGAAAGAAATCGGTCAACTATGTTGACTGTGAGGTACAGACTTTCGGGCATCAGTTCGAATTTCTTGTGGACTTCGATTAGCCAGTCCACTAGAATTGCTCTCATTTTGGAGTTGATTTCTGGCTGTGAATCAATGTAGTCATGGACTCTCCCATCTTCCTGATATTATTAAATAAAAAAAAAAAAACCCGGAAAATGTTAGATGAAAAACGAAACGAATAGTAAACGAGAGAGGCTAGTAGTGAAAAACCGAAGCACAACAAACACACCTCTGTCAGCTTATAGAAATTGTACATATCCTCAACATACTCCACTGCAGCCAATTCATTGTCTGCATCCGCTGAATCGATGTCCACCGTTGGAGCCTTTGGCTTCTTGGCTAGTCCACAAGCAGCCTGGAAAAAAGACAAAAAACCCAATTAGGTTCTTGAATCTTCTTGATGCATTACATATATACATATATATTATATATATATATATGTATGTATGAATGCATGTATACCTTGCTTCGAGCAGTAAGGGTGGCAGTGAGGGTTTTGCCGGACTTCTTTCTTCCACTCTTGTGCTTTCTTTCTTCTTCGCCGGTGCTAACGACAACCAACGCTTCGTTTTTCGGCTTAGCGACGAGAGATTCCTTCTTAGGCATCGGTTTGGCTTTTGCAGCAGCATTGTCTTTTCTCACTAAGTGGTTCACATTTTCTGCCAGTGGCTTCTGCACATATATAATTCGCTAGTTAATAAATTATCTCGAAAAAAATCGGCACCCTTCGGAAAAAATAAAGAGTCGATCTCAGAATCTTGCCTTGCAGTAGTTCTTCTCTGCTGCTGCTTGGGCATTGGCCAATAGTTGAGCCCCAAAACTCCTGTAAAACGAATAATCATCGAAATTAGCTTTCTCGATTCACAAAAGTGTGTGTTGTGTGTGTGTGTAGGGTTCGGATAAACCTAGTACCTTGTTACAGGACGAGTGATCTGAATTTGGGGCTGTTTCCCTTCAACGGGTACGAGGTTTCCGATATCTCCAAGAACTCGCCGATTTCTACCTTCCACTTGCTGCTGCTGCACATTCTTCTGCTTCACTACTCCAACTAATAACAAATTGCCACAAAACAAAAACTCTTATTTATAAGATCTTGATCATCATACATAAAAAACTTAATCAAATCTGCCAAATTATCGGCCCATAATCGATCCACAACCATGGTCTAATCGACTATCACGCAGCGTAACGGAACACACAATCGAGCCCTCGAAAGATATTATTATCATCATAAATTCAGTAACTTAAAACATATTTTTTTCCAATACAAAGATCCCACCAAGACACACAAAATAAGAAATTAAATAAATAAAAAAATTGTTTCAATTCACAAAAGCCCCAATTGAATTCAAAAAATACAAAAGTAAAAAAAAAATCCATGGGGTTTACTATACTATACTACCTCTGGGTTGGTGGTCGGGAACAAGAGCTCTGGAAGCCATGTCTGAATCAAAATGATCGTCGGTATAGCCACCAAAAACGCCACCAATACTTGCCCAAAACGACGACAAAAACACCTTGAGACGGCCGTTGCGCGCCTCTCCTTCTTCAATGTGATCAGTCGCCACAATTCAAACAAACCAACACCTCTTCTTTCCTTCCTTCTCAACCAAGATTTTCTCTCTCTCTAGAACAAAATGTGGTTTTTTTTAATTCCGGAAAAAGAATGATGTGGAGAAGAGATTTTGGCTGGGAGTGGGGGAATATATATATATATATATATGGGTGGGGATTTGGGGAAGAAGGGGGGGGGCGCCTCTTGATAACAACGGTCATATTCTTGACTGGCTTTGAATAGGATCCGTTGGATTACACGGTTCGGATTGTGAAAGATTCTTCTATGTTTTACTAGCCGTTACAACCCGGAACACTGGAGCCTTCAATATTTTTTACCGTTATAATAAAAGATTACTCCTTTTCTCTATCTCTAATCTAATTGGGATTTTTTTATTTTTTTCTTTTTCTCCTTTTTAATAATATTTTCCATGCTCCATTGCTTTCTCAGACTTTTAATTGCAAAAATGCATTTTAAATAATAATAATAATTTCAGAACCAACTTTATTTTAAGAAATTTCTTCAAAAAATATTTATTAAAATAATAATAATAATAAATTATGTTGGCCTCTCTCTCTTCTTTTTAATATTTAATAATAAAATCAAAATATATGTCCAAAAAAAATCTCTCTCTCTCTCTTCTTTTTAATATTTAATAATAAAATCAAAATATATGTACAAAAATAGTAGGGAAGTGGAGATGCGGGGGATCGAACCCCGTGCCTCTCGCATGCAAAGCGAGCGCTCTACCATTTGAGCCACATCCCCTGATTGAAGGCTGATTCTCTGTTTATTTCTTTAATTAAAACCATGTATCGTTGGAGACACGAGATGATGTTCCCAGACAAAACTGTATGTATCCTTCATTAAGATACATATTGAGAAATGTAAACAGAACCTATTTGAATCATTTCATTTTTATGGTGACGGTAATTACATTTTTGTTTAAATTTAATTGACCACTGCTGGCTGCCGCCATGGCTAATTTGTGCCGTTTGACCCTCAGTATTTCTCTCTCTTGATTCAGAAAAAAAAAAAAAGTGAAGTTTTAAGGATTTCTAGTGTTTTTTTTTTTTCTAATAAAACAATGAAATGGAGAATATTACTAAACAAAAATATCATAATTACAGACCAACAATCTTTTCTCTCAATCAACATTTGATTGGCGATCCATAAATTACCATATATATTCGAGACCGATATTAGAGAAGACAGTTAATGTTATTCATTAATATATGTCGACGCACATAAAAAGTTAAAAAATATATTTACGAATTAGAATGAATTTGGATTTGCTCGAGAAAAAAAAAAATGAATTTGGATTTGCTCGAGAAAAAAAAATGAATTTGGATTCGCTCGAGAAAAAAAATATGAATTTGGATAATTGATATACGTTTGAAATCCACTAAAATGGATAGCATGAAATATCACATTCATTCCAGACGTTTTTACCCGTAGATTTACTCAAGTACAAAAAACTGTGCGTGATTGGCCACAGCATGTTACAATACAAGAACAATCTTCAAAAGTGAAACTTAGCGAGACTACAAAATTTCATGCATGCATTTAGAAGCCAACTGGAGTGCACAATAACAGCAAAAGAAATCTAGTTGCGTTTTGAAGAAGGAAGCAAGCAGTCATAGACCCGCTCCATACGTGATGCAATACTCAGCTTGTGCTCCGTTTGGAGACCTGGCTTTGCCAAATCAATGATATCCTGTCTCAAACTGATCACAACATAAACGGTTAGATATTTAATTATGGCATTCGTCTCCAGGAAAAACAAAATCGACCTTAACCCCATTTAGTGTAGATATTATTTTGAAATATTTAGTGCAGATAAGTGAAGCAGAGAGAAACTAACCACATCCATTCACCAGTGTCTTTTGCATGCCTCTCCACCAGACAGTGTAGGGAATCGAGAAAACACAACCCTAGTCCGTACATGCATTGAGCATCGTTTTCCTGCCAAAATTCAACCGAAAAATATAAGGCTTAGTTTCCTCCATAAAGAACCAAAAGGATTCACATACATCAAAACAAGTATCACTTTTGAATAGGCGTTACACTATAAGTCGTACGTTTTTGTTTTTGGTGAAATCATTCGGCTGGACAAAGCTAATGTTACTATCTTAGTAAAATGATCAGATAACGAATATGCGTACCAATCCTTGATCTTTGTAAATCTGAAACTGCATTATAGCTCTCTCAATTTCTCTCAGCAGTAGCCTTCTTTGAATACGAGCAACTCTTCCTCTACCTTCAGCTCTGGTATCCTAATTCAAGACAATAACAAGTCAGATTTCTTAACAGTACCATATCAATTGTGATATCCAGCTTGTCGCATTATCATTCTTTCAATGCTCATATCTGTATCGATCCGGTAAAAGAAAAAAATGATGCTCAACAAAATATGGGGGTCAATGTTTACTGAGTTAACAAATATAAACTTATAAATCAGTCAACAGCTATACCAAAGTCAAAACAGATAGGTGCTTCTTCTCGACAATATAATAACAGTGAAATTTGACTCTTACCTTTCAGCTCTACTAACATTATTATAAACATTTTGAAAATTATACGAACAATAAAAAGGATATCATTAATAACGTTTAAAACATGAAATAGAACATATGATACAGCAAGCAACTACATTATATCTCCCTTGTACCAAATTAGAAATATCCCCACAGAAGTAGAAGACAAATATTTTACCTGTTTAAACCATGCTCGCACCACCATGACTAGAATGAGGGAGATAAAGAAAGCTGGCAAAGCAGCTAGAATAGCAAAGTTGATTTCATTGGCCCTCAGGATCTGATCTAGCTCAAGCATTGCTCTGTTTTTTCAGTAGTTGGACGTAAGGAACAATCTTCTCGTTTGAAATACAGTAATTACTTAAGTAAGAAGATAAATGAAATCACTCACTCTTCAATATCCAGTTTTAGCTTCTGAACCTGTAGTGGAGAAGTTGTATCAGGTGACAAGGCCAAAAACTACTGATTGCACTAGTAATGTTGATTGTGTTACCTGAATAAGAAGAGCACGTACAAGCTCTCCACCAACAAGACCCTGAATGGGATGAGTAAGTTCTTTCTCGTACCTAGAAATTCAACTTTCTTAGTATTCCGTTCATCGGTTCATGCTAAACTAGATACAACATGCACATCAAAGTTCTAAGGTCTACCAATCATATGACCTATTATTTGCGACAGACTAATCGATAAAAAAACTTCAATTTGGAAGCCCTTATATTCGACAAGATTGTCTACCTTCCATGGTATAAAATGGATCACCATTAATTAATTAATCAGGAACCTCTTTCAATAGGTTAGTTGGTCAGTCACAACCTCCAAGCTTAAGAAATATGCATTTTCATACTTGATTTGACAAAAAAATATGCATCCAATAACAGATTTGACCAAAGAAGCAAAGAACTAAATTAGGACCAGGTCCTTCTCTACACAATTGGATTGCAAATATTGGTTGGCCTTGATGAATGGATGAAAACTATCTGGACAATATCACTTGTACAACTGAGAAGTTGAAACAAAATGAGCAATGAGATATTGCTCATCTGAAGATGACTAGTCTGCAGTCTTCTCTCTTGTACTTCTCAAAATAACTCTTTTTCAATAAGTATTTGGAGCAGTGTAAGTCCGAAATTAAAGAAACTGTGTAGTAATAGAGTAAGATTAAGAAAATGAACTTCAAACGTCATATAAATCTTCTTTTATGCTATTACAAACAGAGATGACCTGTAGCACCAGTTTACAGCATGTTGGACCATTGCTCACGAGACATACTCAAGAATATATGTAAAAACCAAAAAGAAACTTTTACCTGTTCATTACAATCTCGAGCATTTTCTGGTCAGATGCATTCACTGGAAACTGTTTACCTATTGTCTGCTCACTAAAAGCTACGAGCATTCTGCAACAAAGAAGCAACCATATCACCGGAAGTATAAAGGTAAAGAGGAAAGCATTCCAGAAAGAATAAGCGTAAGTGAAAAACCAACTATGCTCCATTTTTGTGGACTGGTGAAAATTAGAGCACCTAAGATGAAAGATAGACACTGCCATCCTACTAAGTTACAATCATAAGCAGAGCAGCATTACAGGAAAGCACATGAAGACTCTAACTAAACATAAGACAGGAAACCCGATACCAAAAAAGTTTATTAATAAATCAAGATGAAAGTACATATTTATTCGCTTTGCTTGCATTCAACAGGAGAAACCATGATAGCAGATGTCTCGAGGAGCAGAAATCGCCACATGACGACATGTTATCTCTTTCTTTCTCATTGGAATAATGGTGCATGACACCAGACAATATCACAGACAACCTTAGGCAGAGTCGGCAAGGGGAGCACCCCTTAAGAATTACAGTATGGCACATAGGAGACCAGCAACTTAGTTTACAGAGATGTAATAAGTATGTCAAAAAAGTTGTGAGGGAGCTTTTATTGATCTATAAGTACTTTATGTAACTTGTGCAATTGGCAAGCATTCAGAAGCATTGTCTACATTAAGGATGTGCAACATCTTACTCTTTCATAAATAATAAAAATTATTGCTGAACTATCAATCCTTTTAAAGGTAGGAGGATACAGTAATTAAACTCCAATAAAAAAACACAGTTAAAAATAGGAAGTTAACAAGATTTCACGGCTTTATATCTGAACATCAAACCCTAATAAAAAGCGTAACTACTGTGTCAAACGACAATCAAAATGCTTTTAAAGTCATTAGCATGAGAATAAGCATTATTTTCACAATAAAGACGAAGAAAACATAGCTAAGTAGATAACAGTACACCAATTATTAAAATAGGATGTAATAATGTGCCAGAAACAGGGACAGAAAACAAACTAATTTTCGTAAATTTTAAAATGGGTTGTAAACATTCAAAAAAACAAATTAACTTTCTTCTCACTAGGTATCAAGAATTAAACCAGCTCACCTATGTAAAGAGTCAGCAGTCAACTTAACTTCTTCACGTTCCATTACACCTTTTTGTCTTTTCCTGAAGGTCTCAAAAAGCTCATCCCTTATAGACAGGATCTAGTTCGAAAGAAACAAAGGGAATATTGTAAAAACAACTAATACACCAAAAACCATACTCTGATACAAGTATTTCAGTAAAATGGAAGATCCCCGAGGAGCATAAAAAATGGAAGGATCTCATTTAACCATGAAAGCAATATTCAGTGAAGATGGAAAACAAACGAACCCGTGAATTCATAATACAATGATTACCAGAGAATAGAGATATATAGAAAAGAAGTCAAAGGATTTTCTTATAAGGTACCATCAGTACACATATACAAGTTTTTTCTTTTCAAATCACAATTAGACGTGTTATTGCTAGAAAATACTGCTAAAAGAACTTGGTCAAAATCAGAATTGATTCGACAGGATAAACTCATTGCTTTGTCGAAGCAAAACTCCATGCTAAGAGTACTAAAAACAATTAAATATTATTGTTATAAGAACGAGCAACCTTTACATTGAGATACATTATTTTAGTCCCCATTTTCTACATAGACATATAATCAGACTGATAATTTCATTGTATGAAAGCACACAGATCCATGAAGATTTGAAATCTAATTTAAACCATAAAAACCATGACTTCTAAAGTCACTAGTCACTACTACTCCAATAATCTTCACAAGAATGAAAGAGAAACAACTTTCACCGACAACTGACAATTTGCAAAAAGTTTCCCATCCCCTCCCCTTCTTATATAGGTGTGCAGATATATATGATCAGTAACAGGAGTTTCAGCCAAAAAACTGAAACAATATTTAAAGTACAACTCATTCAGCAGTTTTAGCTAACATTTAAGCATTGAAAAGTGAAAGCACTGATAGTATGAAAACCAGCATGCTGTTATACTGATTTAATTACTTTCTTCCCTTCCAACTACTATAGTAAGAATTTAATCCCCCCCCCCAAAAAAAAAGATCTGCTGATGATGAGTTGAGAGGGTTCAAAAAAACTTACTGGCTGCTCCACATGATCATTCCAAAAGGTTATTGTCGAATCCTTTGCCTCGCGAATCCAATTGTCGATGTCAGAGCTTCCCATGAACTTGCTATGTCGAAGAAGCCAAAGTGAACAAACAGAAATTCCAACAGCGCCACAGGTATAGTGCATCCAGTACAAAGTAACTTTCTTTGGCTTGCGATGTTTGGAAACCTAAATAAGGTTGGGTCGAGTCAATGCAATGAGTGCAAAAAACAATTTTCATATTATTGTTTACAAGAGAGTGTGCTACAAAGTTATATGGCTGGAAGAAAGACAACTTTAAAAACCACAATCACATCACAATGGTGGTGTACATATGAAGCAAATAATGTTACTGGAATTCCAGAAAACCCCAGAAAAGACATAAATTATTCCCTCTGTTAAAGAGAAAACTTAGTTTCAATTAGTAGGCGCCATCCCAATAATCTGCATAAATGGAAAATTTATTGGTCTAAAACATGAAAATTAATACCGGCGATACTTCTTAGGTGGAAAGAAAATTGGAATCAAAGTAAAATGGAAAAAAAAAACAACTATGAGGACATTAACGAAACTCGTGTTTGAGAGAAACTCTTACAAGCACAGATAAGTAAGAATCCAGTGTGTGTAGGTTTTCATATATCAAGTTGATGGCATCTCTTATCTCACATTCTGACCACTGAGAACCTTCCTGATTTACTTCTGGAAGTTTTGCAAACATCAGAGGAACTGAATAGCTGCCATCCACCGATGAGCCACTCTGCATAGTAAAGATTTTATTGGAAAAAAAAGTAAAAGAAGAATTATAACAGCAGTGTCTACAAAGATTTTTTGTGTTCTTACGACAAAGTTACACCGGAAACATGTGTAAAAACAACATTACACGAGTTACCTGACGATTTGCATGAAAATGGCCAATAGATGCCTCCAATTTCAAAAATAAATCATTGATTGTAACCAACAACGAGGGCAATGAATTCTCCGGATCCTTCACCAGATCTTCTCCAATTCTGTCAACCTCCATATAAACCTACATACGTTGTGATTTGTCAAGTAAATAGAACTTTACTCATGAAAGAAAATGCAGATACGTATCCATGAACATATTATCATCTTAAGCAATTAAGGATGCATATGGAAAAAAATTCGGGCTCATGATCCATCGGTATATACACTTGCTCCTAGAGTTTTCTGATTAAATGTGGTCCTTTCGTTTTTGCCAAACTAAGAACCGAGTGTTTGTCAAAAAAGAAAAGAAAAAAAAAACTAGTACCAAAGTAACTAAATTATACTGACATTTTAAATCTATAAATAAATTCTAGATATCAGTTTATGCTTTTCATCTATTTCTTAGGTAACAAGTTAGAAAATAAACTACAGATATTTAAAAATGAATATTCTTGATGTAGGTGCCCGTTATTGTGGCTAGAACTTGCAATTATTTGGTGTAGACATTTCTACATTGATATCAAGTATCTGCAGCTCAATGCAACCTTTTTAAGAAAGTATGCATATGTAGTAGCTATCTGCGAGTGATGGCAAAGGTCTTGAAAAATAAACAGGCGATGAAAAAGAGGTAGGGAAACAAACGAATTCAAAAGTCAAATTATTCAAAAAATTATATTTGATAAAAGGAAGGTCCTCTTTAAACCCTCTTCCTTGAAAAAAAAAACGAGTGACATATTTTCTTTAGACACTAAGGCCAACATACTGCCAGAAGAATGAAATGCTTGAATTTGTTTTTCTACAGAGCATATATATAGTTTGTTGTGACAGTGAAGGTAACCTGAAGAAGTTGTACCTGCTGAGGTAACGAAATCAAAGATATGAGAGGTCAAAACGTACTATGAAAAGAAAAGGTGAAGTGTATAACCATACTACGGAGATCATCAGCGCAGAGTATAGTACTGGAAAATCAAAATGGTTGGCAATAGAAAGCTGACAATAAATAATACAAATGCAACAACTTGCAAGAAAAACACCTTCAACTACTGCTTAGAGTTTCCAGTGCATGACAATTTAAACAACAAAAAACAGGAAGTCTTACTCCATGTCATGAACCCATACCATAACCAAGTCCATTTCAGTTATTTTTAATTCACAAAAGGTTACAGAAACTCTATATCTTGAAGGTATGTAGTCAACTTGAAGATATAACCTCCAATATATGTCTCGGGAGAAACATTATGTAAACATGTAGGGCTGTTTACTAGCAACCACGAATTTTTGGTTCATCTAGATATTGTGAAAGATTTTGAATGGCTAATATCATGGTAGCAGAATAACTTCAACAGAAAACAATATTTGCACCCAACATTTAATACCAACATAAGAGATGATGAATTGAAAATTCTAACCTTGGCCAAAAAGGTAGCCAAACAGTATCTTAGACTAGCCAATACGCTAATCCTCTCAGATATGTAAGAAGATGCTGAACAATGGAGCTTCTGCATGCTAGAACCATCAGCAAGACAATCGCGTATCAGTTGTAGAGTACCATTAATAAATGCACACGGCCCTCGTTCGCATATCATGAAGTATGATTTCCGAGCACTTGAACCCTGAAACACAATATTACATTAAATTAACAACCAAGGCATTACCCAATGAATACATTACTAGTTTGCACCACTGGACAAACGCTTAAGTCACTGACCTCAGCTCTTAAGTGCCAAAACCCTAAGTTCTTCTGAATGTTGTGCAAATTCTGAAGCGTATGCTCAATTATATCCTCCAAAACATTAAAAATTCTACGAGCCTCGGGTGTAATCCTGTGTGTGGGACATGGAAAATCATCTTACAATCAAAAACCACAACGCTATCTGTTTTTTAATAATGAATACAGAATCAACTGTGATCATCATCGTAAATAGAACCAATCCACATAGTCAGTTATTGAAACAAAAACTTGCTGCATTTCTTTTCTTTCTCTTGCATGGGTGAATACGAACAAAATGAAACATGGCAAAATCTCCAGTAATGCAGTACCTAAATAACAGAATTCTTAAATAAAAAAGTACGACACTATTCCCCAAAATTTCAAACAACAGATATTCAAATAACAGGTTGTTGACAATATTCCACTATTCTCCCCGTCGCACCACATGCCATGACGCATACACATCAATTTTGCGATCAAAAAATCTTAATTGAATCAACGAACAGTGTTAAAGTATCCCGATAAATCTACGACAGATGATGATTCAAGTGAAAATGAATTCATACGCAGAAGACCGGTCGAGTGAAGCAGCAGCGGTAACAGAGGGCAAAGGTAGGGGAAGGCAGGTTTTCCTCCTGCGGCGTCGTTTCGAGGAGCCATAGAAGCTCACGATCCTCGAGAGGAAACCATCGGGAAAACCGATTGAAATAGGGAAGAAACTGCGGATGCTGTTCCGGACATAGTTGGAGTATAATGAGGCCAGAGCTTTTAGATTGTTTGACGGCAACGGAGACTCGTCTCCCGATGAAACCTCCATTGTTGAAGCGCCGCGCCAACCTCGATGGATGATTTTCAATCACTTCGTAGTCCTAGAGAGAGAGAGAGAGAGAGAGAGAGAGAGAGAGAGAAGAGAAGTACTGTGTGTTGTGCGTGCGAGATGGTGAACTTGCAGAAGGGGGTTTGTGCCAGCCAGGTAGTTGAAATTGAAAATGGAAAGTCATCCCGGCGGAAAAACAAAGCAAAAAGGAAATATGCTTTCTATTGGGCTGGAACTGGATAAAGCCCAATAACATATTACTATTTTGCCCTTCAAAATATGGGCCGACCCGTTTGAAGTATGCCTTGTTTGTTTTCACTATTTTATTTTTTTGTAATTTTAATTTGGAAAGGAAAAAAATTTGATTAGTTCATTTTAGTAACAAAATAAATCTTATTTTGAAATAAATTAATAAGAATGTTTCGTGTTCAAAAATAAAAGAGTAAATTACGGGCAACACCCTGAGGTAAGGTCACGTTACAAAAAAAATATCTCATGTTTGGATAATTACAATCAGTCCAACTATGAATTTTCTTACATATCCACCCTTTTGGTGTCAAATTCAGCAGAATTTTCTAGATTTCGTGGAATGTTCTCTAGTTTGTATCTTTTTTGTGTAAAATTGCAGTTTCTGATGCACTGCAATCTAATATTTACAAGTCAAGAGACACATTTTATGATCATCTTGTTTCAAAATGTAAAGCTCGAATAGGGTGAAACGGGTACAAACAGTAAAATATTCCACATAATCTAGAAGATTTTACTAAATTTAAGACTGCAAGAGTGGACGTGTAAGAAGATACAGAAAAAGAAGACATGTAATTTTTTTGCAGATAAAACTTACGATACTAATTAGATTCAAGTTGTTCCAACTTATGTACACAAAGCCCACAAGCAACCCTACCGTTAAGCTGTAAGAAATAAAGGTGAAAAGCAATTACCATTCGTTTGCAGCAACTCAACTCATCATTCCTCGTCATAATCTTCCTCTTCCTCATTCGCCCCATTGTTTAAATTAGCAAGTCGAACAGTATCAATATCCAGCCTTGCCACGTCATCAAGGGACCAACCAGGAATATCTTCGTGTTTCTTGTCAGAAGATGGCTTGTTTGAAGACTCCGTCAGAGTGGAATCGTCCTTCTCGTCTAACTCAGCATTAAGGTCAAATTTTATAACTGATTTATCAGTATCTTTTTCGCCTGTAGTAGTTCTTGAATCTACAGCACCTACAAGATTATTTGTCTTCCCCAAACGTTCATTCTCGTTTTCATCGTCCTTGTCAGAGATATCTGGATCGTCTTCAAATTTCTCGCACTTAACTAAATCTCTCTGCAATGTTCGAGTACCTCTACCCCTACCCCTACCCCTACCCCTACCCCTACCTCTACCCCTACCCCTACCCCTGATTACTCCACTGCTGATGGTGTCGCCAGTCTCATGCTGCAATCAATAAAGCATCCAGTAAAGCTTGGTCAATAATTATTGACATATTATATTACAAGAAATGACAAAGAAGTAACATAGTAACCATTGGAGAATTTCAATGTCAATGCTGCAATTTTGTAGATGCTTTAATTTACTAGCAGGAATTGCTTGTAGATCATAAGTTTTATAGTTCTAATATCAAGAGTCGAATTTGATACTCCGGCGAAAACATTTCGAAAGATGTTGGTTTTCAGATACATTGTTTGTTTTTCAAGTAAGCTTGGTTTCAGGTTTTCAGATACAAAATCTGATACGATGCTGAATTTTATATTGCATTACGTGCCAGAAATCAAAAGTTCTGAGATTTTAGCTTACCATGCCTATCTTATTAGGATCGTCCTTGTCGTGTTCATCTTCATTTTCTGTAATCTTCCTGCAATGAACAAATCAATAGTAATATAAATTTTTATTTCAAAATTTCATTTCCCATACCGGAGATATGCGCCCTAACCTTCTCTTGGTAGCAGATCTATCCTCTGCTACAACAGCATCTGAACCACCCAAGTCGGGAACCTTACTGACAGTGTCGCGCAGGAAATCAAACACATTAAAGCTCTGTACACATTGCTTCCTAAAAGTGAAAGAAGTAACATTACAATAAGATCGTCTGTCAACTGAGGCCTTGTTTGGAATTTGTGATTGTGAAATTCTTGTATTGGCTAATACACCTTCACGCCTCGGAATATTGATAAGATTGATAGCATTGGATGGGATTACATTGTCTATGGTAATCTAATACGTGATTCTCTTATGTCTGTGAATAATGATGTAAAATCATGATAAGTAATAAGAGGCATTGAGGTTGGACTAAATATCATTCATATTCTCGATTATATTTCGGGATCGTTTCTTATTACATGCTTCAAAACTAAACCCCAAACATTTGATAAACATTGATTATATTGTATATCAAGTCATATCCTTATTCCCAAACAAGGCCTCATAGGATTCTGCAATAATGGAGGTAAAGATTTGACAAACCTTGACCATATTATCTATCAGATCTATAATAGTTCCCAAACAGAACAATGGTAGAACAGTGTAATCTGACTGGTATATGTCACAAGTCACTCTCAACAAAATAAAATAAAAGGAAAGATTTCAGATGAAACTTACAAATGCAAAGAATTTACAGTTTTCGCTCCTTTCTTCAGCGTTATATCGTAAGTCCGGTCACATAAAGCTTGCAGAAATAGTTCCAGTGCTTTTGCTGAATATTTTCAATCCAAAAACATATAAGCACGCAGTAAAACTTATCTCCCATGACAAGAGACAAAACAAAATAGACTACAGATATAAAAGAACCTCTACAACTAGTAAAAGTTGAAACGTATATTAGCAGCATGATAATCGGGTTAACGTACATACTAGAAGAGGTACAGGCAGAGCCATCTTTCCCACATCCTCATCAGCTTGCATGATCTTTTTAATTCGAGCCTGCAAAAAGAATTTTAAATCATACAACAAGGGATCGTCTAGATTTCAGATGTTAATTGTTTTCACATGACATGACCTAACATCTGGCATCCCGATTTCTTTACATATCGGAACTTATTTCCACATACTAGATCCACTTCAGAAGACAATAATCTTTAAATGATCCTATCGAGATAAATTTCCAGTTAAAAAACACGAGAAATAAGAAATTCGCAAGCCATGTCTAAATTGAATCAGCAAGTCTTCATCTTTCTATTGCAGAACACACTAGTCGATTTCATGACATTGTGTGTACAACACTTCCCCTCTTTTCTCCTACTTTAAACTGAAATCTCACAATTCAACCAATTAAATCACCCTCCCCCCTTCAATTTTTTTCAACATTCATTCTAATTTCAAACTAACAAAAATTACAACAGCAGGAACAAAAATCAAACTGCTAATAAGCATACGGAGTGGAATAAATCGAATGAAACAGAATAGAAACGATAATCAATTCCTAAGCACAAACGCAACTGCAGAAACACTTCAAAAATCAAATGAAAACCTCAACACATACAAATAAGAACAAGGAAAAAAAAAAGAATTACCGCCGGAAAACGGGAGTCGAGCTTTTTTTTCATGGATTCAAAAAAGCCACCAACAAATTTGCAATTTCCCAAACCCTAGCTTCTGAAAAAGTCTCGTAAACACACACACACACGCGCGCGCATAAGCAAGTAAACCGGCGTTGTATCCCAGCTCAAAAGTTTTCACAAGTTGCCCGCAGAAAATTCAAAATTGTTGCGTATTCGCAGAAAAAAAAAATAATGCACAACAAATAAAAACAAAAATGAATAAATATTAATTGGTGGATTCGTTTTTCTCGGACTACACCCCACGATTAACTTTTCACTTTTTACTGAGCGCCCAAGTTCAACTCTTTTAATCATTTTTCAGTTTTCTTACCGTTTTATTTTTTTACCGTCGAGTCAATTTTGCATGTGCCTGGGCCAGATTTGTTCGACCCTACACCTGGTGAAAAACACCGGGTGGGTCTTCTGTTGCTTGTGTCTCTTTTTTGTATTTTATAATAGATTCCCCGCTAGGGTTTACCGGCAATATCTATGCTACACCTGGTGAATATAATCAGGCACCCTAATTGATAAGATTCCCACTAGGGTTCAGTTATGGGCCATTGGGTTTTAGAAATATAATTATAAAATAAATTAAAAAGGACACATGTCAATAAGAGAGCAACCCGGTGAAAATCACGGGGTGTAGCATCGTATTCCCCGGGTTTACGGTTTTAGAAAAATAAAAAAAAGAACACGTGGCAGCAGAAGACACACCCGGTGTTTTTCACCAGACGCGGTCTAAGAGTTTTCTGGCCAATAACGTAATGACACATCAGAAAAAAATAGTTAGCGGCGGAATTGAATAGATAAATATTTGAAGGGTAAATTTCACATACCTCCATGTGGTTAGACATAATTACAGATAGACCCATCTAGTTTAGAAAATTATATTTACAGCCCTTTAGATTCGATATTAGGCTATTAGCTACTCTCCATCGTTCGTCCGTCATCGTACCTTGATCACCGTTTGCTGTCGCCGTCGAGAGTCCAAGAAAATACATAGATTATGAAAGAAAAAAACGATCAATACAGAAAATTGTTGAAAAAATCCGTACAAATATTTGTAGGGCATACTCATATTAAGAACTCTTCAAAAAATCGGTGTATAGATTCGTTCCTGGTTCTTTTGCTTCTTTTTGTTTCCTTTTGTTCATGAAATGGTCGCTTTCGACGACACATGCAAATGATGAAATGTTTTTTCTTCAATCATTTTTTCTTCCCGAAATTGTTTAAAAAAAAGACAACGTTGAAGTGGTATAGTGTGTAATTGACGGGTATAATTAAAAAATAAATAAAATGGTTGAGTGCTATGAGAAATTTAATGAATTTCAAATAATCTGCCATGAACTCATTTCTCTTTAAATTGTTATGTTATGAAATGGCTTACAAATGTTCATATTTCAATATATTTTACATGTTGGTCCAAAAGGACCAAAACTTGTCGGTACATCTCTATCTATTTATACCACTTGAACTTAAATAAACCAAATTATATTACTTTATTACTTTGTTTAGTAATTGTATTATAAAACATTATATTTATTTAATAAGAAAATATTAAAAATCTCGTATTTTATTTTGGCCTAGAGCCCACCGAACAAAGTGATGGCCTTCACCTAACATGTTCTAACAAAATCTTCCTTTGTCCGGTTAAGCTGCGTGTCTTAATTACGAAATTATAAATAAATAACAGATGAACAATATCGGATAATTTGCATATAAATCTATTCGAATGATCATTCACTAAACAGATAAACACGAATATTTGTGCTATTATATATAGATCAATGGAACATAATAAACATTTTCATGTTTACTAGCATTAACGGTCCCTTCAAAAAAATTTAACTCCATTCAGCCCCCTGAATTTGTAATTCTGGCGGTTGAAAAAATTGATTAGCTGCCACGTGGCTGCTCTTCTCTAATGAAGCAGTACCCCGTGCATTGTTTACTTGTACCTTACAGTTTACTACCAACAACTATAATCATAATGTTGTCAGTAAAGATTAGGGTAAATTCCACTTTACCCCCTTGTACTCTGCCCAAGAACCACTTTACCCCCTCGTACTCTTAATTTCGTCGATTTACCCCCTTGTACTTGTACAATTTCTCAATACAACCCTCTTCGTCAACTTTTTTCGATTTTGACTCTGACGCCATTTGGTCAAGAGTCAAAATATTGACGCAAATATTGAATTTTTTCGATTTTGACTCTCGAGATTAGAAAAGAGAAAGTTTCACACATTCATATATTTTTTTCTTTGCACTGGGTGGAATCGATCAATTTTTGGGTCTTGATTTTTACTAAGTTAGGGGTTCAATTTGGGGATATCTTGGAAGGAGAAGTGGTGGGAGAAGAAGAAATGACAATATTGATGGAGGAGAAACGACGCGTTATAGGCAGTGGCAATTTTGTAATTTACAGAGTTGACCAAATGGCGTTAGCGTCAAAATTGACAAAATTTGAAGGAAAGGGCTGTATTGGGAAATTGTACAAGTACAAGGGGGTAAACTGATAAAATTGAGAGTACGAGGGGGTAAAGTGACTCTCAGGCAGAGTACGAGGGGGTAAAGTGGAATTTACCCTAAAGATTATTAAAGAATAAAAATCAGAGAAAAATGAAAAATTAGAATTCACCGGTTTTACTAACATGCGCCGTGTGTGGTTTCCGCCGCTGCTTCTATCCTACACTAAAATTGACTCCCCCAAAAAAAGGAAAGAAAGAAAACCCTAATCCCCCGTCGATTCAGTTTTATTTTTCAGCCTCGCATTGCCTATCTTTCTCTCTCCTCACTTTCTCTCTCTATCTCTCTCTCCATTTCTCTCTCTGCAGTCCACTATTTCTGTCCCTATACAACGTTTCTTCGCGAATCCTTCCTCTTTTGTCTGCCGCGCTGACACTAAATCCAATCCTCCATTTTCAGAGCACGAAAAGAAATTTGATCCACAGAGCTCCATTTTATCCCCAATCGATCGTTTATCGATTCGTTTGCAGGTGAGCCTCTTTTGTTTTGATGATCGATAATTAGAGGAATTATCGTGGGGAGGCCCTTGTTGATTTTTTCTGATTCATTGATTGATCTTAGGATTGCGAGTTTTAATTTTTGTTTTCTTTCTACAAATGTGGATGGGTTATGGTTGAATAGATTTATTAATTATTTTTAAGCATTATTTGAATTGAAAATGCTATGCTCTTACCTTTTTTCTTGTTGGTACCTAGCTATGATTTAATTTCTTAAACCAGAGGTGTTGTGCTAGAATTTGGGATCCGTCTTTAATTTTGCTCCCATTGTTGGAGCTTTGAGGATTTTGTTGTTGGCAAATTACTTAAATGGAAGGAAAAAAAGATTGGTAAAAAGTGAATGGTCAAAATGTGATGTATTGGGAGAGAGAACTGCATAATATTGGGGGCTGCTCGACGATTGATTTGTAAAGAAGTTGTCTGAAGTTATACGAGGATGCAATAAATGTGGAGATTATTATAATTTTGATACGTTATGGGGGAAATGCAGCGGGTTCAATAATCCTAATCGGTGTGAAATAACACATCCAATTTATGCCACTTTTAAGCCCCATTTCTGGTCTGGAATTTCGATGTCGTAGGAATGGGAGATTGCAAGGTTTATAATTAGTAATTCTTGCAAACTTGTAGTGAGAGAGCAATATACGGTTCTTCCTTCTACGAGTTGTAGTGACTAAGAGGTCACTTGAAAATCCTACAGGATAAGCTGATCTAAAATTGATCAATTGAGGAAGTTGAATTTCTAATTCGATGTGTTTATCAGTGTTGCATATGTATCGTAAGTTCTGGATTCTTGTACATATCGGTGCTTGCTAGTTATTGGCTTCTTGTTCCTTCGAAGAGGTCCTCCTTGAATTGGATATTAGTTTCCTTTACTTTATGATCTGGTCATTATGCAGACAACATAGATATTGCACTTACACTTTGTAATAACATTTTTTTTAATTTTCTAATTGGAAAGTAGATGATTTCATCCTATTATCCTTTATTGTTGCAGGAATTATAAATTCAAGTTAAGGATATGTCTCCAGCATCAAGATCCAAGCCCAAAGACAAAAAGTCCGGCAAGGAACCTCCAAAGGGTTCTTCAAAGTCTTCAGCAAGTGGATACAATCCTCTTTTGGGAACATTCACTACATTCGAAACAGCACCATTGCCATCTGTCAGTCCGCTTCACGTGAATGGCCGCTTCCGAACAATAGATGATACAGCGGATGACCATAACGGGAATAATTCATCTGGTACGGGTAACGATTACGATTCCGTTTCAAATAACGGCAGCTGGTCCGGCGAGTCGGAAGATCATAAAGAAAAAGCATCTCCGACACTTCATCGGCCGGAGTCAGTACCTGGATCGGACAACGACAAGAGAGAGAAAATACGCCAAAAGAATGAAAGAAAGCATCAACGTCAAAAGGAGAGGCGGGCCCAAGAGCTGCACGATCGGTGCAGCGGCTACCTCATGTCGAGGAAGCTAGAAGCACTTGCACAGCAGCTTGTGTCTATGGGGTTCACTCAAGAACGGGCGACCATGGCTCTCATTTTGAATGAAGGTAGGGTGGAGGAATCTGTATCGTGGCTTTTTGAAAGCGTTGAAGATGAGAACAAGCAAACAGAAAATCATAAACTTGGTGGTAGTGGTGGTGGTAATTTGAAAATCGACATATCGGAAGAGCTTGCTCGAATTACAGAAATGGAAGTTAGATATAAATCTTCAAAACAGGAGGTTGAGAGAGCTGTAGTTTCTTGTGAGGGTGATTTAGACAAGGCAGAAGAAACATTGAAGGCACAGAAGGAGGAGCCTCCTGCCGTTCTTGTCGATCCTCCTAATGTAGGCAACACTAGCAAGATACCAATACCAGCTAATCAAAATCCAATACGAATACAGGCGAAATTGAATCCATCTACCAGTATACAACAGAATCGAGATGAAAGAGATTTCAACTATACGAAAGCTCCAATAACAGTAGGGTCTTCGATTGACCCCGGAGCCAAAAGTATGCAGTTGTTAAAGAAAATACCACCTAAATCAGATTGGACCAAACCACAGCCACAGATTTCTACGCCAGCAGAGAAAAGGGTTGCAGGTGCAGTATCTAATCGTTCGCTGACATCACCTTCCCCAGCAAAAACAGAAGCCCATTATGTTTCGGTCGGAAATGAATTGAAGAATTTGCAGCTTGGATCGGTGAAAGAGCCTGTGATGATGATGCAGCGACCTCCTCAATATGCATTCGTGAAGCAGCAGCAGCAGTCTCCTAGTGGAAGCCTCAGCTCTTCTCCTCCTCTTCCTCCTGGAACAACGTCTATGATGGGCTGGTACCCAAATTCTTCAGTCGAAATGGTGAAGCCGTCCAATGGGTTCGTGCCACCTGTCGCTGTATCTAGAAGCTTCAGCAGCAATGGTGTTAATTCGAACCCGCTGCACAGCCACCAATTTCAGTACCAACAATTACAGCAGCAGCATCAATATATGTCCAACAGTAGTAGTAGTAGCCCAACGGATTCTCTAGGAACCACTGGCGGCAGACGTGGTGGTGCTTCACCGCCAATCACCGCTGCCGCCTCTCTCGGCCTCTTCTCTGCGTACAGCAACAACAGCACAAGCGGCTCATCTGGGTCTTCGCCTCGAGTTGACTGGACAACTGGAAATTCGACTTCGCCGCAGTTTGATTATACAACTGTGGACTGGAGTCTTGATTTAGGGCGTGAGTCATCTCCCTTGACTTCGAGGTCAAACAAAGGGTGGGGTGGTTCGAGCCACCCACCCATGCAAAACGATGCGCGTATATATGATTCTTATGCGTATGGTCTGAGTGTGAAATCTGGTGCTATGAGGCCCGTTTTATCTTCTAACGGTGTTGCAGTAGCAGCATCAGCACCACCACCAGTTTCAGGAGTAGCTACTACCGAACAGACGGGTACTGATTCTCGAGAATGGTCTTCTCCATTTGAGGAAAAAGATATTTTCAGTTTGCCCAGACAGTTTGTTTCCTCACCTTCTCTGTAAAAGATGAATGATGAGGTTTTTTCTTTCTTTTTTCTTTTTTAGAAAATAAAGAAGAAAAGAAAAAGACCTTGTTGCTTGAGCTTTCGGTGTTGGTTCTGTTGTGATGCTTTGTGTTGTTGATATATTCTCAATTGTTGATCTTGATCGAAAAAAGAAAACAAAACAAAAAAAACCCATTTTATTTATTTCTTTGAAGTCTGTTAAAAATTAATTTACTGTTTCTTTGGCAGAGATCTTAATTTAACAAATTCAGAAAAGAAGTTAAAAATACAGGCAACTCAAATAGAATAAGCCAAGAGATTTGCGTTTACGTAACAGTGTGTTGTTCGATGTAGCATCTTAGTTCTCTTATTCAATCGTATCCTGCTGCATTGAGTTCTCCGTGTACCACTGATCCGTGGGGCGGGTGATAAATCTGGCTTCTGCATTTCGAATTCGCAATAGAGATTTATATGTCAAGTAAAGCAAACGGAACACATTCAGAGCAATTATTAACGGGAAAAATCGTTACTTGGTGATATAATCAATGATGATTACCTGATAAGAAGATATTTTTGTAGTCTTCTTCATCGTAGATAAATTTCGGGGGTTCTGGAGAACCCACCCCCACAATGGTGCTTCCACTGCATCACAAAGAAAACGAGAATGGTATACAGATATTTTAGACACTGAATATCCAGACAACGCGTAAACATGAATAAAATTGTTCATTTACGATGTTGGGAATGCATAGATACATATATATATATATATATATATATATATATATATATATATATATATGTATATACATTATTCTTAATTACCTTCCAGACATGAAAACAGCATCATACTGTCCTTGACCAGCAGCAGAAACGATGCGTTGTTTTAATCTTTTCAGTGACGGAAGGACTTCAAAAGCCGGAGCTTCTGCACAACAGCAAACAAATGAACGAAAACCCTAAGCTTATTATTGTCACACTCCCCGAATATTTTCCATGATTTAAAAACAAAGTTCGAATAGACTAATCTTGAATAATGCAAAATATAAAAATTGAAACTGCGTTATTGAAACCATACCGAGATCGTTGATGCAAACATCCTGAGATATTCCATCGCGTGAAATTTTCTCCAGCAAAGCCAAAGGATCGATCTTGCTTGCTTTATCCACCCGAAGGCACTGAGAAACCAATATACTACCGAATAAGATTCCGATACTAAATTAATTTATCCTCAAACCCGACATAATATAATATAATATAATATAATATAGTCAAAATAATCTCATACCTTGTAAACTTCGGCTGTGGAGCATGCCTCTTGTGGTTTAATTAGAACCATTGGAAGGTCTAAAGGTATAGGCGGAGAAATATCTTCGACTACCTATAATTTTTCATGGCGAGAAAATTATCATCGGAGACTATCTCTTTTCGACCAACATACGATTGACAAAATAACGATAAGACAAGTTTATTGATAAATGGTCAAGACGTATATACCTCGCCTCTACCTGTGCAATACGCTGCTCCACGAGAGAAAAAGAAGGGAATATCCGAGCCAATCTCACTCGACCATTCTTGGAGCTCCTTTTCAGTGGCTATGCCGCCACTAAACTGATTTGCCGCCCATAAAGCGGTGGCGGCATTACTGCTGCCACCACCGAGCCCAGCTCCTGTAGGCACTTTCTTATCAAGATGAATCTACTCAAACAAAAAAATATTAATAAGTCATCGAAAAACACGAGCCCCGTATATTAATAGCTTCATCTAATCGTGTTTAAAAAATTTACCGAAAAGTAGTTGTTAATCCCGGTCTTTCTCCTGAAAAGATTAAGAGCCTTAATTATCTGCGAAAAAGGTTTGTATTTATTCCATGCCAAAAATCAGCACAAAGTAATACGGAACGAAAAAAAAATATACCAAATTTCTGTCATCGAGAGGAACTCCGGGTACATTGGCTAATAGACGATCCGTTTCTTTCGATGGAGACAAAGAGAACTTTATCTTATCTCCGAGACTAATTACCTGACACAAAAAATGACTAGCTCGTATTAAACGAAACGTTTGGAAACAGAAAAATACTAGTAGTGATCGAACGAAAAGTTACTAACATGAAAGAGAGAAGCTAAATCATGATAACCATCTGCTCTTTTTCCTGTTATTCTGAGGAAAACATTAATCTGCACAATCATCAAATTCAGTAAATTCACCGAGCTTTTACGAAAAAACCCTCGATTACGAGCTCGTAAAAGCTTTACATATATATATATATAACTGAATCACCTTACCTTGCAAGGAGAAAAAAGAGTTAGCCTTGACATCCCAACATCTTTATCCACTTCATCTTCCTAACTCACAAAAACAAAAACAGCATGAAAATCAAAATCTCCAAAACGCACAATCATAAGCAGACAATTGAAATTCAAAATTTTAAATGTACAATACCTCAACTTGTTTTCTTACAGTTCTTGAATTAGAAGCTGTGGCTCTGATCCGACGGGTCATCGAAGAATTGGGCAAAGAAGAAGACGACCCATTTGAGTTAAACGGATGAAAACTGGGTTTCTTGAAGTGGGTATTGTAATTGGAGGAACCGTAGGGTTGGTGACTGCAGAGAAAAGTGGAAGAAGCCATTGGAGATGATTAGTACAAGAATTGCTATAAATCCCAAAGCAGAAATAAATGGGAGGAAAAGTGCATTGAATATGGCGGCACAAAATAGCTTCTCTAAATCAATTGAAAATTTATTTCGACCAAACTTCTTCTGTTCTTCATGCTTTGTGTTAATGCTTTGTCGAGTAATTTTTTTCAAATATTTATTAGAGGGTAAAAAGGTAAATAAAAATGGGAAAAGGAATCAGTTCTTTGATGGAATTTTTATGCTCTTTCTTGTCGTTGTATTCGTCCCCAACTCATGTTTGTGCTTCTCTATAACTATTATTCATTTTAGGGTAAATTACGCCTACCCTATGTAACATAACATTTAAAAACAAAAATCCCCTCTTGCAGGGCAATCGATAATTATAACAAACTCCTCAATTATAATTTTTTTCGCACGTCTACGTCAACTCTTACATCATCTCCAAGAGATGTGTTATATGCTAAATTTTAGCATATTTTATAACTTTTTTCAAAATATTGAGCTCCAACAGCTATTCTAAAAATTTGCAAATTTAGCATATAGCATATATGTCAATATGTAAATTTTAGCATACATAGTTTCTGATGCACCGCAATGTGATGTTTACAAGTCAAGAGACACACTTTGTTTCAAAATGTGGAGCTCGAATGTGATAAAACAGATGCAAAATAAAGAATATTCTACATAATATAGAAAATTCCACTAATTTTGATACCGCAAGGATGGACGTGTAAGAAGGTTCATAGTTAATGGGTAATTGTAATTACCCAAACATAAATAGTTTTTTTTCCCCCATAATTTGACCTCACCGGTCACCACTTCATAGGGTGGCCGTAATTTACCCTCGATAAAGAAAACCTTATTTTTTAATATATATATATATATACACACACACAAACATCGTAGTAGTTATTCCGATGCAACCCATTCTATTTCCACCCCTAGTATAATTTGAAGCGAAACTCATTGTCACCGAGTTCGTCTCCCACAACCAGAACCCGGGACTTTCAGAAGCCACAAAAATTTAAATAAAACACACAAAAACCGTCAACAAAAACCAAATCAGAATGCAACATAAATAAAACCAAGAAAAACGAAAAACATTATTGTTCACAAACTCGGCACACGGATTATTCTACTCCATCTTTCTGTGTAGTCCAAACTTCGAACTAAACAGAAAACGAAGCTTTATCCGAGAAGATCAGAAACATGTCACGTCATCTTTTTCCATATGTGTCGACAAGTTCACATTCCCACAATTAGTTTGAGATGCAATTAGAAAACTGCACAATCTCCCACTGCCAAATTTTCGGTTTCAACAAGTAGCAATAGAACAACACCAGTTTTCGTTCAGCAACGATCCTTTTACAGAGAAGGAGAGCTCACAACCAATTGTGTACACATATTTGGTAGCACAGAAAAACTGAATTACATATTTACATGAAAGGGGTTATTAGCATTCCTGCGGCGAAATTTCGACACCTGATACAAGTTTTAGAGAAACCCAGATTTTCCAAGGCACACAACACAAATAAGCTATTGAGAAACAGATCGAAAAGGGATAAGAAGATTGTCGATACAAACACATCAATAATCGAAGGGCCAATTTGTCCTGTTATGCTCCTCATTAGAAGATGACGAGCTATTTCCACCGGTTCTTGAATGACGTTGAGTATTTTGATTCGACGAATTAGAAGGCCACAGAAAAGAAAACGGATTCCACCGTCCCATATTCTGAGTGATATTCTCCCTCCTATTGCTACTGCTGGCCCCACTGCTGCTCGAGTTCCCATTTCTCTGATTCCAGTTCGAACGAGCATTTCCAAGAACTTGCTGAGGCAGCTCAACACGGCAAACAGGGCACGAGTTATGCTCAACAAGCCAAGGCACAATGCAATCCGAATGGTAGATATGGTCACACGGCATCTGCCTAGCTTTCGAGCCCAGCTCGAACTTATCTTGACACACGGGGCAGTGTGCGTCGCTGCTAAGATGCCTCTGGGATATTCTAATGGTGGGCATGGCATCGATTGCTGAACGGGGGGCTGGAGGCGGGCCCCGCCTATCGTTCGTGCTGAGCTGTTCGATCAATTCGTGCAAACCATTCCCCATAAAGAAATCTCCCAGATCAGCAGCCCGTCTGTTCCCCGTTCCATGCCCACCGCTGAAGAAGAAATCGATCGGGTCCCTCTCTGGGAATCCAGCTGCAGATTGGCCGTGGAAAATCAGCAACGGGCCAGCTGGCCTGGTGGGGCCCACGCCCCCCTGGCGTGTTCTGACGTCAAAAGTGGGGTCCCTTCCTGTCATTCTTTGCCTCATGAGGGCGGCGAATGCATCCATAAAACTTAATCTTGGATCTTGAAAAGGCTCAACGACTCCAATGCCAGAAGCATCGCCTGGATGGGCACCCATGAATTCGGGGAGCTCTTGTACGAAACCCCCGTCGCAGTACGGGCAGAGCAACTGACGCCCTCTGGCGCGAATTGGCTTGCTGCATTGGTAGCACCAATGTGTGTTTCCTCCACTCGACATGCTTTTTTTGTGGTATAGATATTTTAAAGAGTTAATTTACGACTTGCTCTACAAAAACTGAATCAATCCTGCAACCAAATGCGTATAGTAAGTTTGATACAAATAACTGAATTCACATAAATCGGTGTTGCATATTTACTTAAACACATGGTTGATTTCATGTAACTGATAAAGAAACATCATATTTGACTAAGCTCTTCATTTAATTAAACAACTCAAACATCAAACCCTGGGTTGCCAAAAATGCATTAAAAAAACCTGTCTTTACAGTTAATTCATCCTCGAAATTATACTAATTTTCAGACTCATGAAAAAAAAAAAAAAAAAACATACGAATTACGATCGCAAATCTAAACACCACACAGATTAATACATAAAACAGAAACATATGAGACCGACGAATCGACGAAAACCTAATAAGGAAATCAAATAAATTGTGAAATCGAAGCGATTCGAGAAATTTACCGGAAGAGCGCCGTTCAGGTGACAGAGTAGACTCGCACTCGCGACAGCGCAGAGAAAAAGGGAAGTGAGAAATGGCGGAGGATTGGGAGATAGGAATTACGGTGACTTTTCCACTTTCCTATTAAGCGCGTGTGCAAGTAGTCTGAGCACACGCGCCAGGTGAATTATTTGGAGGAGGAGAATTAAATTTGGAAATGAGGGGCACAAATGAGATTTTATCTTCCAAATACTGCATCCACAAGGGCAAAATGGACAAGTACTGTAGCACATAGGAGTTGGTCCGTCTATGAGATGTTACACCTAGTGTAAAACACTGAATAATTTTTAGGGCCCTGAAATATGACCAAATTACAAAAAAAACTCCTTTTGTTTGGGTAATTACAGTCATCCCCTCCCTTTAAATATGTTTACATAAAATCTATGTAATTCGATTATTTACCAAATCAAATCGTATATTCAGTTCGGTAAACGGTATGAAATGTTGACTTACCGAAATTTCGGTTCGGTTTTACCGATTTAACATTCCTAAGTTTACCTCTAGAATGGGTATTTTCGTAAGGTAATACACATAGTTGAGGGATGACTGTAATTACGCAAACATGAGGGGTTTTCATAATTTGACCATAACTCAGAGGTGGCCGTAATTTGCCTAATTTTTAACCATTGATCTATATAAATAAAAATTCATTAAACACACATACAAACGGATACGTGTAAATCAATGGTTCAAGATAACCCGATGTATTTCGTCGAATGTAGCTGTGTAACATCTACGAAAATTGGTCAGTGTTATAAGTGTTACACGCTTGAAACTTGGAACAATGAAGGAAATAATAACATTTGAGAATATTACTAAGGTTGCAAATTATTTTGTTGTAGACTTGAAGTACACAAGTTTATAAAGTTGTTTCATATCTAACATTCATAATTCTGATTTTCCAAAATCTAAACATATTTATGTCATTGAACTAATTGCCTAAAACCGTTATCATTACATGTTAATTATAGAATATAATGTATGAGATGCTGCATCAGGTATAGATTATTTGTTTTCGAGTGAACGACCGATTCCTTACAAGAAAACAACGTATTACGACTGACTTATAATGTTTGTATTGGCTTCAGCCACTTATTAAAACCCGAGATTGATTGTCAACTTTTTACGAAAAAGACATGAGCCAAACACAACAGGTAAACCGGCAAACTTCAAAGGTAGACTTGTAAGAAATAAAGATGCACAAATAGCACTTAATCCCCTGTAGTTTGAGTTTTGTGCACATATAACCCCTTTATACTTTTAATATATGCAGATAACCCCGATATGGTATTCCAATAGGTATATAATCTTTATATAGAAAGGAAATAACAGAAATGAAGATTCTGACCAAAATGTAAATGCAACTTCTCAAAAGACATTTTTAAAGTTACGACATCACATCACGGAGTAGTTTTAAAAATATCCATCTCTCTTACCTCTGTAGAGAAAAAAACAAAACACGTTGCTAAAATACGGAGGAAGTTGTAAAACAAAAACAGAAATCGAGCGGGAGCTAAGAAAAATAACAAAATTACAGCCATTGAAGGCTTCTTTAAGTAGATTGACCTCAGATTTTGTTGAAGGCAGCAATATCGCAACTTTGCACGTATTCGTTGATAGGCTCGACTGTGAGACGCTCTTCAATCATAGTGTCAACTGAGACGAGGTCGTCAATTATGGTCATCATAATCTGCAGCTTCTTGATTCCATAACCAACTGGGACCAATTTTGCTGCATAAAACAAAATAACCAATTATTCAAAAGCCAGCAAATTAAAGAGGAAACGAGAAAGACTTCATAAGAAAAAAGGACGAGATATCTTACATGCTCCCCAGAAAAGGCCTTCCATCTCAACACTACGAACAGCCTCTTCGAGTTTCTTCATGTCTGTCTCGTCATCCCATGGCTTTACGTCCAGAAGAACAGATGATTTCCCACCTGGAGACAATCCGACGAAAGCAGATGAGTAAGAGCGGATAACACAAGAAATCAGTGATGTATTGATCTTCAAAGACAACTTTTAGCACTAATCAATAAAGGCATGAAACTTGAAAACATGATTATTTTCAATAAAAATGCAGCAAGAACATTTTCTAAACTAATAGAATGTACTAAACTTACTCTCTTTCTTTTTGGCAGCTGGCTTTGCAGCCTCCCTCGCTTCTGCAGCCTTCTTTTCCTCCTCCGTCTCATCGCCAAAGAGATCAAGGTCGTCGTCATCATCAGCGACAGCGGACTCCTGAGCAAAATTTAATGTCAGCATAACAACTAAAAAAAAAATTACAAGATATTGATACGAAGGTAAAGAAAAAATTACATTAAGTACGAAAATGCTTTGCTCAAATAAATTCTAGTTCTGTTTATGGGGCATTTGAAAATAAAAAAGGCAGCTAGCACATATTAGTAGCGATCTCATGGGAGAGAACCATACATTGTTACTACCACCTTTTACACAAACTTTTGAATACTATCGGTCCACGTCCTCCTAAAATTCAATACCCGAAACTTAAATGCAAAGTAAGACAAAGAAGAAATATATTCAACTACGCATCATACTCAAGGGTCATTATTTCATTCACCAATGCTTTCAGAGCTGCAAGCAGAACTTGAGGTGTTTTAAACTGAAGATCATTAAAATTACCAAAAGTCAAACGACAACGAATCTGATACAAAGAACGATACACATAAAGAAAACAACAAATAATGTCCTAAAACCTGAAAACTATTTTGAATCCTACAATTTCAAGTATAGTTTTCATACAAGTCAATCGAGGACAAAGAAGAAAAAACACAAGATTGCAGTTGTATCCATCTTAAAATTAGAAGTCTTTTTAATATTTCATGTATAAATTTCAATATTTTAGTTCAGTAATTATCCGTATGTGGGTACATGCCTAAAGCAGATCAACTAAAATACAGGTTGAGGGAGACCTGAAGCACTACATTATCTAAAAGCTTTAAACATGAAGGTTCGTTGGAACATTCCTTTCTATGCTAAATCTGAAGTTATACAATTGGAATACTTTATGATTCAACTTATCCACCAATATTTTCCCACGTCGTAAATGTCGAGAATGAGAAAGGAATAACAGAGAGTGGTTCCTTGAGTTGCAAAAGGTGTTGCTAAACCCCACGAAACAATTCAAAATCACGAAGAATCACTTCCAGCAAGACAATTTGAACGGTTTACGCGCATACAATTTAGTAATCAATAATTTTGATAAATTTTTTTTACAATGCTAATAGCCAATAAACCAATCGCGCACAATTCTATACAGTCAACTAAGTTAAAGCAGCTACCTTAGGAGCCTCAGCAGCAGGTGCTTCTGCTGCAGCAGCTTGTCCCCCAATTCTCACTCCGACAGCCTTCCCGGGAAAGCTGCAGTTTTCATCAATAGATCACAAGCACAATAAGTCAATTACAAGTCAGCTTTAATCACAGGTCAAGAATAAACCCAAAACATATAAATTACACATAATAACTATAAACAACTCAACAAATCAACAACAAACATAGAGAACCCATCCACACATTAATTGTCATTATCAAATAATCAGACAATGCAAACTCAAAAAAAAACTAACAACTAAGTTAATCCACTGGGTAGAGAGAGAGAAAAAAAATACCTGGATGCCAGCTTCGAGGAGACGGTGGCGTACCACTTGCAGGCGTTCGGGTAAAGATCGGCACTTGGACTATCCAAAACGGCGCCGTAAACTTTAATATCATCCTTCGTCAATTGGTCACTGAAATTGATATCAAATCATTAATAAATTGAAAACAATTGTTCGTAAAATCGAAAAAAAAAAAAGTACACCGGAAAGAGTGGCTAACCCGGAGATGTAAGATTTGCCGGAGAGGAATTGGTCGAGGGCCTTGAGGCCGGACTCTGTGTGCAGATCTGAAAAGGTAACGGCCATTCTCGATTTCTAGAGAGAGAAAGAGAGAGAGAGAGGCTGAGTGTGAGAGAGTTGTAAAGAGTAAAGACGAGAGTGGAGAGAGGAAGTGGGTGATAGCGTGGCCACCTTTTTATATGGTGATGGGAAACCCTAGACGGAGATTATTTGGTATATTCTTTTCTTCTCCTCTTCGTTTAAAAATATAATAATTAAGATTTTAAAAAAATAAAATAATTAAGATTTTAAAAAAATAAAATAATTAAGATTTAAAAAAAAAATAATTAAGAATATTACGATGTGCCCGATTAACTAAACTTATTTTAAATAATATTGTGTAATTTTTAATTAATTGTTTGGATATGAAAATTATAAGTTATCTTCGAATATATAAGTTGTTGATTTTTTTGACAATATAAATCATTTTCTAAAATAGACAAAACGCCATCATGAAGATAAGAATTAATTTTTCATGATACATTTTTCTCTAAGATAATTTATAGATTACCTTAGCTTCAAATACATATATATATATATATATATATATATATATATATATATATATATATATATATATATATATATATATATATATATATATATATATATATATATATATATATATACTGATGATGCTAAAATGTAGATCACCTGGGGTAGTGTAGAAAATGTATTGGGAGAGCAAAGCGGATCAGTAGCTTGACAACTTGATGATCCTGAGGTACCTGCGAGATGAACACACGTGAACTACGCCGGGGGTTGATCCGGCGGAAACCCCTCCGACGCTCAAGTCAGACGTGCTGATCATAGAATTAGTCCAGAGAATACGTATTGTAGTATTGCTCAGTTAATAGGACGTACCTTAATAAAATGAGTAAAACCTCTATTTATATGTCGTTAATTGGGTTGAGTTGGGTTTGTTGGGCCCAAGCCTTACTTGAAGGTGTTTGGGCCTCGGTGATATTGGTCTTCGATATTGGGCTCGTAGCTCAGTAGGTAAAGAAATTGTAGGCCCATTGGGTTGGCCCAATTAGGCATATCATTAAGCCCCCCACTCTCGAGTCGATGTGGGGGCCATGTTGTGATGGGTCTCAGATCGTGTCGAGAGTAAAAATTGTAGAAGTCGATCGTTGGCGTATGGCCTAATAATATGCGAAAACGCGTTGGAGCGTGTGTCGGAGGGGTTGTGAATGCGCGTTGGCGCATAACGCGACAAAGTTGCCGCGATATAAATTAATTGAGTCATCGGTTTTGTCCCGCGACGATGTAGTAGCGATTTATCTCCTCGTGGGAGTTATCTTGTCGCGGGGTAATAGTGTTGATCGAGTTATCTCCTCGTGGGAGTTGTCTCGCGATAATGTAGTAGCACGGATCAAGTAATCTCCTCGTGGGAGTTGTCTCTGGGGTAATCGAGTTGATCGAGTTACGTCTTCATGGAAGTTGTCTCACGATAATGTAGTAGCACGGAGCTAGTATTCTCCTCGTGGGAGTTGTTATTTTTCGAAATTTTCAATGTTTTGACGCGTTGCTTGTATGTGTTTACATATAGCCTTCTGCGTGATGTACTTGAGGATGGGATCAGGCTCTCAAGATTTTTTTTTATATGGGGGTCGTGCCCCTTGTTAGACCTCGTGGGTCTTAAGTATGTTTGGACCGTGGCCACGTTTTAATGAATGACCCATCGAATACAAGTAGATAAATTTGAGTAATCAAGCTGGCCAGGCTATATAGATTCTCATAATATCTCTAAGTGCTTCTAGGGTTGTAATCGTG